TCCGGCTTAATGCCACAAGCCGATTTCCGTGGTCGTTCCCGGCATTTGTTGGTTTTTTCTGCTGTTCTGCGTATTAATTTTAATTACAAACTTCGACTGAGGGTTGCTGAATAATTTAACAAATTCTTGTGCATTTTTGGTGAAATTCCTGAGCCCCTCAAATCAGGGTATTAACTCTTTAATCAAGGTGTGCTGTTGTTGCTACAAGGCAGAAACATTTCCATTTCCGCCCTAGCTGGACCCTAAACAAAAACAAATAAAAGTTTTACCTTGTTGGTTTTTAGTTGGGCTTTTGTCGCCTTATCGCCCTGCCTAAAAGTTTTGTACAACTTCTGCGCCCAACCGGCGTATGAGTAATTTTTCTGTTTGATTATCATATTTCTCACTCAGCTGCCCCGCCGCCGCAAAGAGGGAAGCAGGAAAAGCCAAACAAAAGGCCTAAACACACTTTACCTTCCCTTCGCCTTCAGCAAATGAATGGAAAAAGGTTGACAATGTTCTTCTTCTGTTTGTTTTTTGCACTCAAGTTCAAGTTTTCTGTCCAAGAGTAAGAACAGAAATATGCACAGCTATGAACATTAGTTTCAATTTGCAAAAAAAAAAAAAAAAAAAAGGTTTGTGTGTGTTCTCTAGGTCTCACTGGCTTACCTTGTGGCCAACATTCACCTTGCCCACCGCCCCTCCCACTTTTTGTATCCCACTTTTTGTGTGTGTGTGTGGGTGTCTGTGTGTGTTTGTAAGAGCTTGTCGCCTCTGGTAAGTATGCAACACTTTTACTTTTTTGCCCCGTACTCCGGGGCGTGTGAAAACAAGAAACGAACAAAAGCTGCTTAAAAACACCAAACCATAACAATGTAAAGTGTTGTAGGAGCTGTCGAAAAATATTTTACACCTTTTCCACTGTGGCTTACAATCTATGGGTTGTTTTGAGGGATGCGGACCTTATCTGGGGCTTCCCGAAAAATATACACCAAAGCCAAAGCACAAGCAACAAGGTAAACATTTTGCGGTAATTAAGAAAAATTACCTTACCCAGCAGAGGAAAAAAAATCCGGAAAAAAAACCCAAAACCAAAAAAGGAAAAACAAGAAAAGCACAACAACGAAGCCCATAAAGTAGTCCTGGCCAAAAGCCGAACTCGCACACTCACACACACACATACACACAGACACAGAGACAGAGAAAGTTGGCCAGCACGAAAAGACAGTTGGAGCGTCAGCTGTGGGAAACCCTCGTTCAGTTTTCCGCCACCAAACCCCACATTTCCCCGCATCTTCGCCCCAGTTCTTGGGTCTTTCACCATTTTCTAGTGGCTGCGACTTTTTGGTGTTAACTTTAAATTAGCAGCAAAGTGGAAAGTGTTGTCGGTTGGCTTTTAAAATGTTTTGCGGTGTATTTTATTTATCATGAAGTAGATCTGGTGTGGCAATTGCCGAGCCCCGCCCCCCTTTTGAACTGCCCACCTTGTCTCGGCTGTCATTTGTCTGTCTTGGCCATGTTATAAAATAATGTGTAAATGTCCCTTGCCTTTTTTCATTTATTCCACCACTCTCCTTTTTTTGTTTTCGGTTGTTTTTTTTGTTTAATTTACTTAATGTGCTTCCCGGGTCCTTTTATGACGCCTTCTTGGGGACTATTTTCCGCTTTTTTGTCTCTTGTTGTTCATCTTATTTTTTGTTTTTGTTGTTGTTCGGGGCTCATTTACCTTGAGAGTTGGCCTGAGCTTTATCATTAATGTGTGTGCTCAGTTCCTTAATTAGTGACGCGGACCGGCCAAAAATATCGAGTAATAAAAACAAGAGTTTCGAAAAAACAAAAGGAGGAGATACGCTAATTTATGCACTTGATAAATATTTTATGGAGTTTCAAGGGAAATTTTCTCACGGGAAAAAATGGACAAACCCAAAAACTGTTATTTAGATAAGAAAGTTTTTATAGCCAATTTAAATTGTGGGCAAGTCAATTAATAATAAACGTGGTCAGTAGTGTTATAAAATTTTTCGATATACAATACACATTTTATGCTGGGTTTTTCTTACTTTCAAGAAAAATAACCGAAAAGCAGTTGACAATCTCTCTTTATCCTTCACCTTTGAATCGCAATTATGCTAAAATGGCGTAAAATTTAATTAATTAGCAGTTGGCACATTCCGTTGGGGAGTTAAGTTTTTAACTTAAGTCCGGTTTTTGGTTTCTCCCCACATTGTCTTCCAAGAAAATTTAATTAAGCCAAGCGCAACTAAGCGAACCAATTTAACCGCTCCAGTCAAAAACGCATACGTAATTTCATTAACAATTATGACCCCACCGTTAGGGTTGCGCATCTTACATCATAAACCAGGGATGGAGATGCGGGGCGAAAGATTGGATTGATGTGTGCCACTTGACATGCCAAGAAGTTGGAGCACCAACACATATAGTATGTATATATATGTTGGATGGAAAAGCATCGTAAAAAAAGATTCAAGACGCTTACCGCTCATTTTTGGGGGTGGCATCCCCAGCTAACTGTCTGTGGCAGCTCCTTCGCTGTTGTGCTAATAAAATCAAAACTGATTACCACATCATCTTCAACGAGCTGAGCGGAACGAAGCCACCCAGCACGGAGCACGAGGAGCAGAATACAGCGTAACGCTTGGAATCGAAGCATGCATATCATATTACTCATACGCCACGTTATACAATTTACTTACAACGTCAACGAGCAGAACGTTGACAGCGAACCAAGACGACACGAGATGAGATGGGAAGCGAGGAGCTTTGGTAGTTGTGGCCCAGATGAAGACAAATAGATGGCAAAATCGTCGAGGACACACAAACACTTGCGTACACTAAGGCAAAAAATCACAGAAATTGAATTACATTCGCTGTAAATTAATTTACTATTTAAAATGCATCACATTTTAACAAATTATATTAAAAACTGAGATACAATTTGTATCATGTTATAATATATTAAAGCTCTGACTGCATGAATGCTTTATGGAATATCCTGTTTATAATTCAATTTAATTTATTGGTTAGTTTAGATCTTCTTTTCATTTGTATTACTTAAAATAATGAATATTAGAATATTCTCCCTGTGTATCTCAGCATATGCGTACGTGTGTGTATGTGTTCTGGAGGATGTGCGTGCCTGGATGAGTGCGCAAAAATGGCAACGGCAAAGAGCAAAAGCCAAGAGCCAAGAGCAAAAACAATTAATTGAGTGGGTGGCAAGCGACACCAGAGTGCAGCGAAAGATAAATCGTTTTGCAATAGCGCTATAATTTAATCAAATTTGTCACTTTTGCAATTGAGCAACTCCTCGCGAGCTCGCTCGCAAGGAGACTCCAGTTGACGCTCTGTTGGAATTTATGAATGGCACTGCCATCGCCATCTAGACAAAAGGTGAGCTCCTGCTCCGCCACCTGCACTTGCACCTGAACAGGTAACTCAATCTTCGCTTCATGGGTCGCAAGTGCGTGCTCGGGCATCGCGTTCGCACTTTGTAAATTCAATTTGAAATGCGCTTGATGCGCACAAAGGCACAACCTCCTACAAGCCCACTACCTTGTGCAGCTTGTTTTCACATACCAGTCGTCCCCGCCTTCCCCCTTCAAACCCCTTTGGATACCCCACAAGTGCCACCCAACCGGGAAAAAGGGGGTTGGAAAAACGGTGGGCGGAAGAGGAGGGTACTTTTCACTGTCGCTGATGGCCAAACAAATGCCAGCTAGCTAAGCGGTTTGTCAGCGCATTGGGGGCCGAGAAAAACGTGGGGAGTGGGTCAACGATAAACGTCATTGATGACGACCCAGCGAACTGGTGACCCCCTAACCCCATAACTCCGCCCCCTTTCCCGCCACACCCACGGCGATTAGGTGAATCGATTAACCGTTCTCGTAATTGAATACAAGAGCACCAGCCGCACGCACTTCTTATGCTGCAGTGTACGCAATTTGTTGTTGCCATTACCCGTCGAACGGTCGCTAAAACTGCCAGCAAATTCTCAGTTACGCGCTCACGTACGGAGCACTCACACAGCTGCAAGTGCAAACACAGGCACAAACAGAAACACACACTCACACACACAGCAAACATTCCGGTACAATCAGCTCGAGCACCTTTCACAGAATGCAGGAACCAATTTCAACAAATCTAAACCTCCCTCTACACTGCAAGAAAACAATATTCAAAGAGTATATTCCTTTACTTAAAAAAAAAACGAAAGTAATAATAGGATTTTAGATATAGCTATAAAAATAGTTAAAGAAATATACATTGGTTGGCCAGTATTGGCATAAGTTCATTTTTAAAAAATATATCCTAATCGAAAAACATATAAGTGAAAAACACACGTTATGGTGGTTTTAAATATATTACCCTCATTTTTTCTACGTGTAACTACCACTGCAATGTTAAACATTTTATCAACGCAGAAAAAGAAGGGAGAAGCAAAAAAACTCGTTCGAATTTTTAAACAAAAATCCAAAAACGTTGGCTATAAGCGAACAGGTAACCAAACCAGGCATCCAGCCTGCGGAAGGGAAAAGTGGCGGGAAAAGTGAAAAGCGAGGGGAGTTTTCAGCGTCGTGAGGGGAGTTGTGAATGTTATTTTTCAAACATCAAATGTTCGGGCCACGTTGACGTCAACACGGGGTCCAAGGCAAAAGTGACGCTACTTTCAGCTGTTTGTGCTTGCTTCCTTCCTCTCGTCCAACTGTTCCCAATTGGCTGCATTTCCCAGGTCAGCCATCAGCCACGCCCCCTCCCTTTTCCCCCTCGCCCACGCCCTCTCCAATTTCCACGACTCGATAGTTGCCACTGGCGTTTCGCCTGACCTGGCCATTTATTGCAATATCAAAATGTTTCCTTTCCGCCGTTGGAAATGATTGAAAAATATTCGCCTTTCCATGGTTCCGGGCTTTAAAGTTCGACAAACAGTTTTTGTTTTATTTTAGCATTACAGGTGATCCGGTAATTTTAGTTAACCGTTCTGTTTCACTTCCGTTTTGCAGGTTATCCTACAAGGAATAATGCTCAGGCTTTTGCTGGTTCATGTAATAACGATATGTGTGCTAATAACTAATGTTAAGTCTGGTGTGCCAATTGGTAAGTATATAATAATTCTAATATAAATAATATAAGTTATTTTATAAAATTAAATTGATTTCTTTTAGGAACCGGCGGACCTTCAATAATTTTGGAAGGCAAAGATGCTTTGTTAACCTGCGTAGTCTCAGATAATTCCTCGAACAACACAGTAATATGGAAGAAGGGTGACGAGATCCTGACCGCCGGAACGGTGCGGGTAACCAAGGATCATCGCGTGCGAATCCTGCACGATGAAAGTGAGTCTTGCACGCCTCTTAAGCTCTTAAAAACACTTAACCAATCTTGTGGTTTCTAATTAGATCCCAAGGGAAAGAACCTGGAGACGGGGGAGAAGTGTGGGTGCTTTTGATTAAGGGTCTCAAGCCCAGCGATTCGGGGGCGTATGTGTGTGAACTCAACTCGGATCCCGTGCTGCGCAGCATTCACATACTGACAGGTGAGTGACACACAAAAATAGTTGCCCAAAGAAAACATTTCAATTTAAGAAATAGGTTAATATTAAATTTAAAAATATTTAATATGAAATAAACTATACATTTGGCTAAGTATAAACTCTAGCGACGAAAAAAATTACCTTTCAAAAATCTGAAAAGTTGCTTTTTCGAGAAATTTCTTAATCTTCGAACTGAAAGCCCATAAGTTCTTTAATTGAAATCCGATTTTGAATTGGTATATCTCTAAATGCTTGTGAATTTATTTTTTTTTCACATTTTCATGAAATTTTTATTGAAATACCTGCCTTAAATTTGGTGCTACATCGGCTTATGCGGGTATTACAATTTAAATGTCCCTCCTTTTTTCAAACAGTGAAAGAGCTGCATGCGTCGACGGGTGGGCCGGGAAATGCGACGGATCCCTCGACCGCGGAGTCGAGTGACGTGTTCCTGCTGCCGCCGCCGCTGGACGCGCAGGACAATCGGAGCTTTTGGCGGCCCAGCCAAGTGCCGCCGCTGGTGACGCACGACTTCACCGAGTGCTGCGAGCGGGCCAATGTGTCCACGCAGTGCATGGGCTTCTGCAATGTGCACAACATCCTCGACGGAACGACGGGCATCGATCCGGAGGCCTGCGAGCGGGACTTCCCCGGCATTGTTCGCTGCATGGCCGATGGCCGCAACCATGTGCCCTGCTGCGTGGACAAGCAGATTCCGGATCTCTGCCAGGACATGTGCCGCGGCGAGTACACTCCATTCACGGACAAGCTGAAGACCCGCGTTTCCTGCGTCCACCACACTCTCAGTGGGCTGCAGTGCATCTTGAAGGGTGTGCAGCTGATACCCAGTTCCCCGACATTTGTGACCATCGAGAATGTTAGCGAGACGAGTGTGAGTGTGGGCTGGACGGCGCCGGACAAGCTGGCGGATCGGGTTTCCGGCTACACCATCAATCTGACCACTCTGCACAGCTTCGACGAGGATGAGTTGAGTGGCGAAATAGTTCATCGGACGGCCGCCGATTCCCCGGAATCTATTAGCCTTCAAATGGTGCCCGCGAATCAAACCCAGTTGGTTTTAAATAATCTCATTCCGCTGACCATGTACGCTGTAATTGTGACGGCCACCAATGAATTCGGTTCGAGTCTGCCCAGCGAGAGGTTGAGATTCTTCACCCATACAAGTGCCTCGGCGGCGGAATCCCAAGCGGGAACCACGGACAAACAGGCGATGCCTCAAATTCCAGATACGAGGCAATGTTGCGAGGACAATGGTATGACCCACCGAATGTGTCTGGACAAGATGTGCGATCCGCAGAAGACCGATCAGGCCAATCTGCCCGATTTTATGGTGTGTGCTCCATGGTCGAATATCACATTCAGTTGTCTGGCCAATAATATCGATCATACGCCCTGTTGTCGTGCCAGGGGAATCCCTTCAGCTTGCTTTCCCCTTTGTGCTGGAAAGCTGACCTCGCTGGACTTTAGTTTGTTCAAGTAAGTTTTGAACCAATTATATACCTTTACAATATTCAGTAATCAAAATTTCGGAAAATTTGTTTAAATTTTAAAAATACCGAACTTTGTTCATTAAATTGTTAAATGATTTATTAAGCTAGCATTTTATCTGAATATTATAAAAAAATTGCAATTAGGCAAAGAAAATGATTTGAAATATTTGCTTCTTTAAAAATTGTTCAGACTAAACACAATTTTCCTGCTTCTGTAAGGAATTATCCCTCCCGTTTTTTCGCTTTTGTTTTCCACACACACATCCTTTCATTTTGCTACTTGCCATAACGGCTCTCAACTTTGAATCGATAATCATCAATGAGCTGCTCGTTCCGCTGTTAATCGTTTACCCAGCCCACTCCTTACCCATCATCACGGGCTGGGAAACCCGTAGGCCGTTAAGCCCTAATATCAATCCCATGCCCACACCCATATTCTCATTCCCATTCCCATTTCCATTCACTCTACTCCGCATCCTTATCCGGCGCCCAAACACAATGCTACTTGCTAATGACTCCGCAGGATGAGTTTTTATGCCGAATGCCAATTACGGAGCTCCGCTCCTTCCCGCTTTCCCGCTCTTCTTGGTTATTTGCAGATGCCTGCGCTTCATGTCCGAGTACAACAGCTGTCTGTTCCAGGGATACGGCGTGCTGGCCGATCCGCCGTCAAAGCTCCGGACGGTGGCCAAGACGGACAACTTCGTGATTCTGGACTGGAACAAGCCGAAGCGACTGGCCGACACCGTCAGCACATATCACGTCAAGTTCCGTCGGCTGGGAGTGGGCGATGACTATCTGACCGTAGAGAAGGTATTACACAGCCAACAATTATGAATAATACGTTTTTGAAATCTAAATATTGAGTACAAGATTTTGACAATTATTTAGGGAATAATAAATATCTTAAAAATTAGAACTTTAAATCAATAAACTTGAAACAAACGAAGGAGAAGAATTAATATTTAAATTAAGTTTACTTCTGGTTAAGCAACTTCAAAATTTAACAAGATTTTTTGTATTTTTCTGTCTGCAATCAAACACTAATTTTCCGATCCAAGACCGTGTTTTTTTTCCAAGTGCATTATTCTGCCACCCCCGTTACCCACTTCCGAAATTGTTTGGCTAATTCATTAAGCTTTGCAGCGCCAGCCACCGCTGATTCTCGAGGGTCTCGAGTCGGACATCTACTACGAGTTCTACGTGGTCTCGATAAACGCGTACGGCAAGAGCGAGGCCTCCCCGCGGCTGATCACCCGTACATTGGCGGCGGAGCCGGTACAGCAGACAGCCGCCAGATACAACATGACGTCCTGCTGCCAGGCATCGGGTCTCCTGCCCCAGTGCGCCCCCCTCTGCTCCTACAACATTCGATTGTCCGATATCGAGCGACTGGGTCCGGCGTGCCGAGCCCAAATGCGTAAGTAACAGCTGGATTTTCATTTTTTTTTTTTTTTTTTTTTTTTTTGAGAGTGGGGTTCCCTGGATTCCCGGCTATGCCGGCTTTTCGGCTCCCCGGTTTGGCAAATATTCCCGCTCCGTTGGAAAACACTAATTAGCGGCCGGATAGACCAGCCATTGTCCTCTGGACTTTTGTTAATTTAATGAGCTCATTTTGCATTTCTCGCTCCGTCTGCCGATGCAATTTCGAATATTAAGTGTCGCCGTGCCCATTTGGGCATAATGAAATTTTGTACTTATGCAAATCAATTTTTAGTTAATTAGAAGCACACAATCCCCTCGAAAATGGCCGAGAGGGATGTTTGATGTTGCCAAATGCATGGGAATTTTGCAAAATGGTTGTACCATCAAGTGCTGTTGGCATTGTTATTGCCTGACAGGGCTTATGTTATTTAGAAGTTTAAGTCCCTGTGTAACGTTTTTCAGCATCCTTTCATTCAGAGTAAACAGAAATTTTTGTTTGCTTAATTCCTTTAATGAGCCGATTGTCGATAATGTCGATAGCTTAATTTGACGTTAGTTTCATAAAACAAAATATTAAAATTTTTAGAGTAGTGCAAAAGTTGTTCAACACAAATCGGTTGAAATATTAAATGAAATAGAATTGAAATATAATATACATATATAACTTTTACCTTTTTGAATTTGATAAATTATCAAATGATTTATCTATCAAAATCATCTGCTTTAAATAGAAAATAATTATTGATTTTCCTGCAATCAAAGCTCGTCCTAACTTTTATGTCGGAAAACACTCAGTGCCAAAAATATCCAAGTCACTCTCAATCAAAAAATTGAATCTGCCTCGGTGCTTCGGCCATGACTGGGCAGTCTTTCGACCCAATTTACCCGTCACCTAGTCAATGATAGGAAATCTTTCGGTTAATTTCCTGTAAATTGCCGTCGAGTTGCCGACTCATGGCAGATCCTTTAAATTATCATCTCAACTGGAGTGGCAAGCGGGGCAGAGAATTGATGAGTTCATGTCACAAATTGTTCCATAACAGAGCACAATGAGCCGTATCGCTGGACGCCGGGTTGGTTTATGCAAATTTCGCCACAATATTAACCAAGTTGCCATCGCATTTGTGCCCATCTGGCGCTCTAATCCTCAGCAATCCTGGCCCGCTGTGCAGCCGGAGGACGTGATCATAGTCCGTGCTGCAGTCGCCGCGGCGTCATTAACGCCTGCATGCCCCTCTGCCGCGGCGTGATGCCACTCGCACTGACCACCAAATCGGCGGCTGCAGCGGCAACATCATCATCATCATCAGCAGCAGCAGGAGCATCATCTGCAACATCTGCCAACAGCAACAGCTACGGCAACGGCAACGGCAATGCGGCAGCTGCAACATCATCATCGTCTTCATCGGGAACGTCAAGCAATGTGCCCGATTGTTTATCATATGCCGGCAACATTCTGCAGTGCTTCGAGGAAGGTGAGTACTTGCCACAGCAGGTCTTTGTCTCTACGATTGTCTGGAGTTGGGATTGTAAGCCGAGTTGTGACCGCCAGCGAATGAAATCATCTCATTTGAACTGGTCCCGTGCAATTTCATTGTAATTGGGAAAGTTGCATTTAGGTTGTCAGTAATTCAAACGCACAGTAGTCCAAGTTCCGATCGGAGAATACCTTTCCTCTGATTAAATATTACATACTATTAAAGGGTTTACATTTAAATTACCTTTTTAAATCAAATTTGTATTTTGGAAATATTATTACAAATTAATTCTAAAACTTCTGAGCTCTAAATTTAAAAAAATTATATTATTACAAATTTTTCAGATTAAATATTTTAAAGTAAAATACAAACATAAAATAAATACTTATTTGCTCTATTTCTGAATGTTGTACAATTAGACCCTCCTAATTAGTGAATACCTTTAGTCACTGGCAAGTCACGGCCTTTTGCCATCCAGATAGCTGCACCACTGGCCGCACTTTGCGGTGCATCCTTCTGTGTGTCCTTGTCGAATGGTTGCATGGATGGCGTTGGCCCCGCTGGGCGCTGTGTTTGCAGCTAATTCTGTTTGTTTAATGGCGTGTCTGCGCACGTCGAGAATACGCACTGTTGCTCGCCATTGTGCGCTAAATTATTTGGTCAATGCTTTGGGCCAAGCGACCGCACAGCTCGGCAGACAAAACCAATATTGGCCAATTAAAGTTGCATTATAAAGCACAACAATGCACGACGTACTCACGAATTCTCTCCCATCGAAACACAGGCACACAGAATATCCCAGGACCGCCGGAAGATGTGCATGCGACATTTGTGAACCAAAGTAGCATCAGTTTGGCCTGGACGCAACCCGATGCGGAGAGGGCGAGCAACAGCAGTGGCAGTGCAACAGCATCGCCAGGTGACATGGTAACCGGCGATGAACTGGCAGCCGGTGCTGTGGATCCTGGAAAGGATGTGCCTGCGTCTGCGGGCGATGCCACAAGTGGGACAACTGGAACGGAGGATATTGAATTCATCGTGCAATATGGCAAAGTCAATAACATGACCATGTACGAGACAGTTGCCAAATTGGAAAATGTGAGTATATATCGGATTGGACAATAGACCGTCCCTCTCTCTCTATTCTGCACAAACTTTTCCAGTGCAAAACTATTTTCCACTCCTTCCCCCTTCTCGATTTCCCCATCTCGATTTCCCCTCTATTTCCGCACCTGTGAGTTGGCTCCAAAAAGTTTTTTTTCCCTTATTCTCTGTTTTTTTTTTTTTTTTTTTGGCTGGGCCGGCTTCAGACTCAAAGGCAGATTCACACACACAATGGGGCACTTCATTTGCATTGGGGCCTGCGGGAGGTCGCCTTATTACGATTTGCCTTTTGGGCCAAAATGCTGACATTATATATATTCGAGTGCCAATGGAATTGAAAAGAGCTTACAAATTGCCTTGTCTGAGTGCCGGAGGCCGGGGAGCCAGGACAATAACCGTTTCAACAACTTTCCTTCGACGGGGGAGAACTTAAATTGGTTGCCGAGTTAATGAAGAAGTTCGGGAACAGGAAATTGCTTCCATAACAAGCATTCATATTAGCAGATATTGTGGTCGCTCTCACACACACACACACTCACAAGCACACATGGCGTATGAGCAACGTGAGAGGTTATTTTAATTGTTCAATTAAGACATCAAGAGGCAGTATCTATGATTATCATCTGGCACATAGAGATTTCGAACTGTGATGAGGTTGAGAACAAACCTTTTTTAATTAAACTTTGAACTTCAAAATGATTTAATGGAAAAATCTAAACTAGTTTTTATAAACAGTCCCAAATGTATATACATATAAATAGAACAGGTGGCTTTGTAGGATGGTACTTTAATAAAAATTAATTACTTTTAAAGATAAGCTGTAAAGATTTATTTATAAAAAAATAGTGCTTTTAAAGACTGTTTACTAATAATTAAAATAAATCGAGTAAAGCAAAATTAAGCTATCAAAGCTAATATTTTTTTATAATTGATTATTTTATTCAAAATGCCACCACTGAATAAAAAGTGAAATAAATGCAAAGTTTTTCCTGAATTAATTGGAGCCAAGAGCCCAATCATGTTTTCTAAAAAGTTCCAGCCTCGCGGCATATGAGTAATGCCTGCAGTTAAGCCAATTATTCAATTATTTATTTAAATCCTTGGCCATCGGCTAAACCTCACTAAATGCATATATCGATGGCCATTGTTTATCCAGCGAATAAAATCAATTGAATTCCCACCAAACCTTCAACGAATTTCAAGTGCAATCCTCTCGAACCAAAATATTTGGCTTAAATATATTTGAAAATACATCGATACACACACATACGCTGGCAAATAGTTTCGGTTGGCCAACGCTAATCCAATTCAGTGTAATAATCTTTGAACCCTGTCCAAAATATCGGTTGAGAGGGGGGAATGGTGGTACAGGGCTTAGGTGTACTATACTATATGTAGAGATATGGGTAAAGTTTTTGACGCCTTTGCGGCTCGAGAGGGAGGGGCTGGGGGTCTTATGGCCGCCATATGTATTGGCAACGTGCAAAACGTGACTATAAACTGCTAAAAATTGTAGCCGATCCACACACAAAAAAATGATGGCGAAAAAAAAACGAAAAAGAGTAACCAAAACCAAACAACGGGCCAAAAGTTGGCTCTGGCTTTGCTATTGGCATTGTTGCTATTGTTGTTGTTGTAGCAATTTTTGTTTTTGTTTTCACTATTTTTTGTTGCAATTCTGTTGGCTTTGTTGTTGTAGTTATTGGCCGTTGTTGTCACACATCAACGCGCTTTGCTGGCAGCTGGGCCTGGTCGATGTTGCTGCTGTTGTTGCCTTTGTTGTTGCTGTTGTTCTTGCTGTTATTGCTGCTGCTGCTGCAGCATCAGCCATGGCCATCAACAGAGTTATTGGCCTCGAAAAACTTGCAAATGCTAAAAAATACACCAAAGGCAACAACAAAGGCCTGGCAAGAGTTTGTCGCGTGTTGATGCGCACAGAAATGTATTTAAAGTGGGGTCTGTGATGCAGATGTTGCTGTTGTTGTTGGCATTGCTGTTACTGCTGCTGCTAGTGTTGTTGTTTTTGTTGTTGCTTCGGATGGTGGGGCCATTGCAACCTGTCGTCGACAACCTGCCAATGATGCACCAGCACCAGCGAATCGATGGGAGGTGTTAACGTGAAGTTGGCATAGGAACCTCTATAGAAAACATTTTGATTATTTGAATTTAGGGTTTACTACTTAGAAGTTTTGTCGATAATATTTTTAAAAATTTAAGTAACAAATATAAAAAGGAAACAATTTTATATTTTTGTGAAACTTAAATTAATCATAATATGCTTTTATAGTTTTTATAATGATACAATTAATTAATGTAGTTAGAGTAGGTTAGATGACATCTACATTTTAATAATTAAAATTGTATTTAATAAAAATAATAATTTTTAGAATCTGTTTTTTTAAAAAATAGGTATGCTTTAAAACTATTAGATAAGGTAAATCTTCTAAGATATAAGATAAAGACCGAACACCTTGCACAACCTATGCAAGAGTCATCTCAAAATGCTTCCAAGTTAGATCCAATATCGCTCGCATATTTATTTCTTTGCAAGATTCATAGCCATGCGTTCGATTTAATATAAATGATTGATTATGTAGGGGGGAATCACAGTTTCTATTGACAGCTCAAAAAATCCCCTGAACAATCGTGACAGAATCTTTCATCACGTGAGCAACTCTACACCCGAAAAACCAATCGATATGGAAGATACTGTGCGGTGTCAGCTTTGGTTCGAGCTCCGCTTTTTTTTTGTGTTCTTCTTATATTCTGAGCTGTTTTTTGTTGATTGTGCTGTGGAAAATTCATTCGCCCTGTTGGTTGCTTATTTTTTTTTTCCAGTTCTTTTTTTTTTTTGTTTTTGTCTGCTTTGGTCAGCAGTGCACGCAGATGTTGCGGTTCTTGTTGTTGTTGCTGTTGTTGTTGCTACTGTTGATGCTGTTGCTGTTGGCTTAACTTGGGGCTGGCTTCGGCTTGGCTTAAATGCTTTTCAGTTTTGCCGTTTTTGCGGTAGCACCAGCACCCCGTCGGTGTCAAATGGTTTAAACGCGCCTCGCGACCCCATCCGAATGGGTTATTGCATCGCATACATCTATAAGTTCGTGGCTATCGGCCCAGTTCCCCGCCAGCCTGCAATGCGTTGACTCAGTGTGACACTTTTATGGACAAACTTAATTGCTTTTGGACGTGTCAGAAATATATATAGAGAGGAGAAGCCTCAAAGGGAGAGGGGTGAGAGTAAAACATCATTGGAAAACAAACCGCTGGGCCAAGACTAATGGCTGGCTGGAAAGTTGTGCTTAAACTAGTAATGGCAAACGCAATCGGCATCCCACCCAATTAAAGGTAATTCCGATGGCTGCCTGCTGTGTTTTTGCAACCCTTCCTGATTGAATCAGTGCCAATAATTTGGCAATTTCTATTCGTCGCCAATGCACGGCCGGCATTGTGTCACCAGCAGCATCAGCAACAAACAGCCCCACAAAAACATTATTCGAATCTACAGGATATTACATGGCATCAGGGAGAAGGGAATTCGGCGCGGGGCTCACCGGGGGGAAAACGGAAATAAAAGGTTTTCCTCCACAGTCGTTGCTTTCAAATGATTCTCTGTTGACTCTGGCCGAAAACGAACGTAACTTTTGTGATGATTTTTAGTGCCGCCGCTCTGCGTTAGTTCGAGCTTGACTTTTATTCCTATTCCTATTTGTGTTTGTGTTTGCGTTTGGCAAACACACGGTCATAAAAAACTTTTTAATATAGCCGGCAACAGTGAAAAGTACAAATAAAAAAAAAAAAAAAACGAAGGGAAAGGGACTGACCACGATGCCAGAAATTAGACACATTAAATATTCTGATACAGCTGTGAAGGAGCCAAAAGGGGTTTGGGCCACGGCGATTATGTGCTTTGTCACTGCAGTCGACTTTGGGCCAAGACAACTGGTAAATGAGCGACCAGGGACCTAGTTTTATGGCCGGAGTGTGACTCCCGTTAAGGGGAAGGACTTCAGATAGAGCAGATATACACTCGAAACAAAAACGCTCCTAATAACTTAAGTGTTCTTAATTTAAAATAGGCTTCTAAAAGCATACATACTATGAACCTTTTAAAAAAAAAAATTTATAAATGCCTTAAAGCTCTATAAAAATAATATTTAGAAAAGAGTAAGGGTAACTTTTTAATTGGATTTAAATTGGTCTTGCCAAGGAATGTTTAAAAAAATTGTTTTTAATTGAACGGGGAAAATATCGTGCTAAGTCTGAAAGAATTCTCCCTCTTCCGATCTTGAATTTCTTAAAGTGCAGGAGCTAAGTAGCAAAGGACATCGCGCTATGCATTTTGAACAGCTATTCGCAGAAGTAGTTGCTGGGGACTCACCTCGATTTCTACGAGGTAACCCCATTAATTATTCAGTTAGGACCAGCTCGTCATGCCAATTGTGGCACATTTAAGTTGCGGTTAATGTAATTACGAAAGGGGACTGGAAAAAGCAAAGCAAAAACGACACACAGGACACAGGACACACGCCCAACTAAAAGTCCTTTGGCTGCTATTACTGTTGCCCTTTTTTTCCTGTAGGGGCTGTCGAGAGCATAATAAATCGTTTTTCCCTTTTTTGCCCTGACAATCTTTTTCGGCTTTGAATTTAATGCGTTTTAGATAAGTTTCTAATGGAAGGAAATTAGTATTGAGCCGGGCAATTTATTCTCCCGGCCAGTGGACACTAAATTCTAGTTAGTTTATCTCGAAGAGTACCTGTGTCAAATTGAAGTCTCTATCTCCGGGCTTTAACCCCTGCTCAACATCTTTATTTCGGACGGGTTTCTGAGGCTAAAATGGGTTCGCTGCTTGGCATCTCATATTTGACACAAGTTGTCACAGGCAGGGTCTAACGAAAACCCCTGCAAATTGAGATTTACGACTTGACCCGGGTATGACAAAAAAAAAAAAAAAAAAAAAAAATCTAGACATCTAACCATCTAACCAAAAGCGAGATGAACCTCCATACATATTTAGCGATGTTGGCCAAACTGGCTCCGAGAACAGATGTCCAACATCGCTCTGACATTGACTTACATACTCAAAATGACTCGTTACGCCGGATAAGCTCGTCGGCAATTGGCGGGGTGGTAGTCGTGAGGCGGGGGGCGTGGCACTCAGTTCAAATATTTTTAGCGCATTGCCAGCACTAAGTAGCTGAAATAACAAATGCCTGTCCAAACGCTGATGATGACGCTGCTGCTGCTGCCACTCTGCTGATAAAAAACAAGTTAATGCCGCCACTGATGACTGCTGGCTGCTGGCTGCCCCCCAAAAACTGACTTTGCTTTAAAAACAAACACCACTCGGCCATAAAACGAAATAAATTACTTAACGCGCCGCATTTTTTCGCACTGGCCACGCAGCCAAAAATGCAATTAAAGGCCAAAAACCGCACCGCGACTGCGACATCTGCAAGAGATTAAAAAACGAAAGAGAGCGAAACAACACAGCGGCAACATCATCACAGCAGCAACATCATCCACAGCAGCAACATCATCACAACAGCAACATCATCACAGCAGCAACATCATCACAGCAGCAACATCGGGCATCCAAACGATTCCAGTGTGTAAATGATTGAGATGGGTTTGGAGATGGTAGGGTGTAAGAGGTTTAGGCTTTAAAGATTATCTTCAAATTTTCTTAAATAAAAAAATAAAATAAATTCATGAAAGACCATTAAAAGAATTTTAGTTCAATTTCATAGCTGAACTAATATTTGCGTTTGGGATAAGAAAATACTATTGGCTAAAGCCATAAAATCAGTTTTTTGAGAACTTGAAAACATTTGATTGTTAAGAAAAAAATGCAAAATCTTTTTAATAACATTGTTCCGCAAATGGTTTTATGCAAAAGGCAAACGTATTTTATTTTCGTGATAAGACTTTAAAACGAAATGACAAATAGTAAATGTTTACCTAAAACATTTGCAACTAATATCAGTCCCCAAAAAACTGGGAAAATAAATATATTTAAATTGTGAAACGTCAATATGAAAATAATCCATCTGCATTTCATTCCGAAACTTTTATATTTAGATAGCATTGTTTGTTTCGTCCGTTTCGAGATTTTATAAACTTAATCCTAACCCATATGCCGCACAATTCCCACAGGGCAGCGTATCTGTCTGCCCCAAAAGCTGTAACACCAACAGATTACGCTAACGATTTTTAATGTGGATTTGCAGCAAGAGGGCGTTGAGTGGGGTCGATGGGGGGGCATTTGGGGGCAAAGCCCCATGCATAGACCAGCGGCCGAGATATAGCTGTCAATTTCGAGGATGGCTTTTGTAACAAAATAACGCCATACGGACAGGGCGGCCACGAAACTGGACCTGAATCGGAGATAGTGACAGGGACCAGCAGAAAAGCGATGAGTTGAATGACTGCGACAATGGCACACTGCGAGTGACTCTGGTGATGATGCAGCTGGTTGGATGATGATGACGGAGACGACAGGGAGTGGTGTCATTTGGCGGGCTAAATACCACAAATTGCGCTGCGTGGCGGCAATTACAAAAAGTACTAATCATGGCGACATGTCTTTCAGCGAAATCAAGCCAAACCACAGCCACGAGCAGACTGCAGCAGAATAGAATGAACCCTGGCAACCGGGAATGCTGACCAGTTTTTTTTATTCGCTTTAAGGGAACTTGAGTACCTTCAATAGGGGTTATTTAATTGGAAGTCAAAGGGTGTAGTATTCAGTTCAATCTTTTTTTGTGCATGGCAGAATTACTTTTAATTGACTTCAGCTTAAAAAGAAGCCTTTCAATTTTTAGAAATTGATCAAATATAATATTTATTAGAATAAAAGTTTTTATGAAAATATTATTCAAGTTTTGGTGGGCTTGTTGGTATTGGAAATTTAATATGTATATATAAGTGAATGCTGTGTCCAATTTGTATAAACCTTTATCTCTTTAAAAATCAGGGTATTCCCAATGCGACCCTTTCCTCCTTTTATTGTATTGCGATTTAACTTTATTCATGGCAATTTTCACACATTTTTTTCTCGTTCTCGTTAACGTCTCGTCTGGCATTCGCTTGCAATTATACACTTAGGAATTGACCACCAATGAGACGAGTATCGATTTGACGAGTTTGGATGCGAATGCCTTGTATCGAATTACGGTTGTGTCTCGTGGAAAATTTGGCACATCGCTGCCGGCATCGATGCTTTTGGTGAATACCACCAATCAGCAGCGGGTCGTCGATGGTGAGTTGGCCAACTGCACACCTAAATGCGTTGATTTAATTGTTGTGCGGTGCGCCGTGTGTGTGTGTTTTGTATTTTTGCAGATCGGGGAGACGGCGTGGCATGGGGAGCCCCCTCACCACCACATTCGCTGACGGTGGTCGCCCACAGCGCCACTTGGATGCAGCTCACTTGGCAGCCGCCCGAGTACGCCCATCCACACGAGAGGATTACCTACAGGTGAGTCAGCAGGGCCTCAGGCAGACACCACAAACATGTTTGAAAACATTTCTATAAAAAATGTAAAAAAAAGTGCTTATGAGACAAAATGTTTTGTAAATGAACAAAATGATTAAAATGTTGTAGTAATTATTTTTTTTCTACTAATAATTTTGTAGGTGAATATATTTTTGTTTTACTTTTAAAATCGAAATGGCATCGAAATATATTTTTAAATTAAGACGAAACATGTAAAAATATAATACATTAGTTTACATTGCAAAGAATACTATTTTTATTCAAAGTTCAACGTATTAGTTTTACTTTTTCTTTATATCTTTGAATGACCTTTTAAGTCTAAAAATAATCGCTAGTAGTTCCCATTCCTATAAAGTACTTATACTTAATTTGGCCTCGGCATTCAAGTATATTTTAAAGGACCAATTTGTACACCAATTTTCGTGCTGCGTCTAAAACTGTATTATGCCCATGTTTTTCTCCCCCTGCAGAGTGTACCACAAAGCCATGAGGGCCGAGCAATTCATAAAGATTGAAACGAAGCTGGCCTGGCTGCGGATGAACAACCTGAAGCCGAGCTCGCAGCATGTGCTCTACGTGGAGGCGGTGGGCGAGAGGGGCGACTCCCTGCCCTCCGAGACGCTGGTGGCCTGGACGGATCCTGCCCTGCCCGCCTTTGTGGATGTGAGTGCTCCCAGACGCAGCAGCAGCAGTAGCAGCAGCATCAGCGTATTTATTTTCGGCATAACCGAGGTGTACTCCATTTGCAGCCCCCCACTGTGCATCCGGCGGACAACATTCCGGAGGGCGGTTCCATGACCATCCTCTGTCTGGCCTTGGGCAACCCCGCGCCCACCATCTCGCTCTACGTGGGTGGACATCTGGTGCGGCAGGACACCTCACGGCACATGGTCACGGTCATTCACAACGTGTCCGCCGACATGGAGCACGTCTCCTGCTACGCGGACAACGGCTACGGAGTGCCCATGCAGGCCACCAGGAGGGTTAACATATGCTGTGAGTAACGCAATTCGGGTTAACTCGCTTAGCTGCCTCAGAGTGTCAAGACATGCTTCCTCGGAGTAAAAAAAATATGCAAGAACCTTAAAGAAAATTTAAAAGGAAATAAAATTGAGATAGTAAATTTTTTCTTTTTCTTTAACTTTTTAAAGAAAAGGAAATGTAAATGTGTGAAAATGCGTTTAATCTTTAAAGACGTTGTATAAAATGTCTATAAAAGCGTAAAGTAATAAATTAGAAAGAAATGTAAAAAGTAATATAAGTCTTTTAAGGGGAAACCCATATTCTTTTTATGAGCAGCTAAGTGGATTTTTAATCAACAAGAACAATTGAATTTTATATATTTGCATCCACAGATCCACCCAAAATTCAGGCAGCTGGCATAACCGTGGCCAATATCGGCGATGAGATCGAATTGCGGTGTACTGTTGATTCAAAACCAGCGCCGAAGACGATTTTCTGGAGGGAAAAGGATGGAAGGGTGCCCGTCATAAATGGCGGCAACTACTTTATATCCGTCAAAGCCAATGAATCACGTCCCTCGATTTATACGATGTCGTTAAGGATCAGCAAGCTGCAGGCCAACGATGTCGGAGATTACTTCTGCCATGCGGATAATCCGTTTGGAGCCACCACCACGCCGGTTTCGGTGCGTATACGCAATACGCCGGCGCTCAATCACAACGTATCGCAATGTTGTGCGGAGCAGAATGTTACCATGGGATGTCGCAGTGCCTGCAGCTATTATGTGGACTTCGATGCCATTGCGGATCGTCCAGAGTGCATTGTGGACTTTGACAAGCTGATGAGATGTGCCGCCGATGGATCGGATCACAGATCCTGTTGTGCAGACGAACACGTTCCCCGGAAGTGCTTGAATTGGTGTCGCGGTGAATCTGTGCGATCCAAGGAGATTTGCAGCTTGCAGTATTCCAGAACCATTGTGGGTTGCTTCGAGAAAAATCGCGATCGATTGCCAGGACCTCCCGAGAATATTGTGGTCAGCGTGGTGTCCGATAGTGAAGTGAATATAAGGTAAGTCCTTGGGTAAACAAATTGTTGTTAAATATGTAGTTTCTTTTGGGAAAGAATATTATACCCTTTGCTACTTTCCGAATTTTAACAAATTTTATGCAGCACATGGTTAAAAAAAGGAAAGCTGTTAAACGAAGTAAAAGAATATTCCTGGATGATTTTGTACTAACAAAAAGTAAATTATAGAAAACCTATGAAACCTTTAAGCTTACCTAAGATTATTCACAGCATCTCACCTTTGCTTAAATTGCGTCAGATCTATTTTGGTCGAGTGTCGTACCTAAACAAAGTTTAACCGAGCAGAAGCCATTTGGCTTTAAGCCCCCAAACTATTTGGGACACGTTCCAACCCCCGGCTAAGCTCTTAAACACTTTTGTCCGAAGCGGAAGTGGACTCATCCATTTAGCGCTCCGAACCCAATACATTCATTATCCTTCTCTCCGCCACACATCCTCTCATGTGGCTCCGTGGGATTGTGTCCGTCTGTGTGTGAGTGTGTGAGAGATGGTTTGTGTGTGAGAGGGCTGGCCCACTAATAGACCGCAAATCCATTAAAGCTGAGATTTTTTATCTCACTTTAATACACTCGGTCAACGTCAAAGGTTGATGAGGGGCTTCCAACTAGGAAGTTTTTTCGAACCTTTTGATCCTGCTGCCGCATTAAATTTATTAAAATTCCAGACAAGTTGTGCGCCTGCAACAATATTACCGGGCGAGCACTCATAATGCGGCGCCGTCGCTCTATGAAAACTATTTCATTACAGATGGGATGCGCCGACAAAGAATCCAAATGCCGTTGACGGCTATAGAATATTTTACCAAGAGGCCGCCGTACTGCCGCCAACGTCGAGCTCAAACTCCGGCTCTCCAGCCTCGGATCCCAGTTCCTCGGTGGAGAACTCCGGCATGGATACCCTGGCCGCCATGAATAATGCAACAAGTATGGGCGGCGGCAGCAACAACGCAATGGCTGCCCTCGAGATACGACGCATCGACGTAAAGGACACAACAATAAGCATTAATGGCCTCAAGAAGGATGTGCTCTACGAGCTGGTGGTGAAGGCTGGTAATAGCTACGGTGAGTTGCTCTTCCCAAAAGGAAGCGGCTAAAGGAGTTCTCCTTTTCGTCGGGGTTTTTAATTTGCCCGGCTTGTCTTGCAGGTGCCAGCGTGCTCACAGATCCGATTAGGTTCACGCTCGGCGAGCACCATGTGACCTCGGCCACCAGCAGCTACTCGAGTGCCGTGGGCACCATCAGTGGCATTGTGGCCAGCATTTTGGCCATTCTCCTGGCTGCAGCCGCCATTGTGTTCTACCGCCGGCAGCGCTCCAGCTACGGAAAGTCGGCCAACGGAAATGTGGCATTCGAGAATCCCACCTACACCAGAGGGCTCGAACAGGTGCAGGTGTGTACGGCGATCGATTGCCATTTTTTCCATCATCCTGTTTTATTAAGAGGGTACCTGGATAGGTCTCTGGGTGTATAAGCTATTAATCGTTGGTGTTGTTACGTTTGTCCGATTGGAAAGATAATTTTATCTAAAAATCTTAACCGATAAATAAGTTGCATTTTCAAGAATCTATTAAAAACTTTGTCACTTAAAAATTCTTTAAAATATTTACCAAATTCTTTCAGTAGTTTAATTCAATAACGAACTAACGAAAGCTGAAATAAAACTCGAAAGGCTTAAAACCATTTTCTCTGAACTTGAAGCTTTGGTTAGAAGCGCAAACTTCTCAAACTTAGCTACTTTTTAATCTGTTCAGAATTAATGGATAGCAGCTTGTCGGCTCAGTCGACTGTTTTCCCGCACCTGTTTCGCTTGTGTGTTAGCCGTGTTAGCAAAAGTTTGTTTAGTGACATGATAGCTGTATGTTTTTGTGTATTTTGTCGTAGGCGTGTATTTACCTATATTTTTATGTTATAACTGTCAATGTGTTCTTCTCCCCCCCTTCCAACGTCCGTCTAACCCACACATCGACACGCGGACATAAACGTATATGAACGGCAATAGCTACCCACTGTCACATCGGCCATCACGACGCAGAATGGCAACCACCATGGGATGAGCAGTAGCAACAACAACAGCAACAGCAACGGTGGCAACAGTCACAGTCATGGTCGTAATGGCATTGCCGCCACAATGACGACATCCACAACGACAACGGCGCCGACGGCAGCGGCATCGGCCACCTCGGCAGGTGTCACACTCACGGGGAACAACCGGCAGCACCACCAACAGCAGCAGCAGCAGCAACACCACCAGCAGCAGCAGCAACATCAGCAGCAGCAGCAGCAACAGCAGCAGCAACACAAGAGTGCGGCAGATGCGGCGCATCATTTCCACAACCCGCTCAGCAATACGCAGTGCAATGAAGTAAATCCCACAATTTATGAGGAGCTCAAACTTGGCCAAGAAGGTGCTGGATTTAAGAAACTTGTGCCATAAACGAAGCACAATAACAATAACAACCACAGAGACAGACAGCACATGACAACAACAACAAAAACCATGAACGAAAACAAACCAAGTATAGCTAGCGAACTTATATATATAGATATATATATATACTATATATATAGAAATATATACGCTAAATGTAGACATAGGCCGTGTAAACAGCGCGAAGCGCAACCTCAAACAACTACACTTACACACACACACACACCAAGAAACACACAAACAAAACACAGACATTGACATAGCACACAAACAGACATACACGCACACGTAGACAGTGTGTACTGTGACATCTTTACAGAATGCATTGCGAGAAAAAACGTTGGGTAACATAAATTTTTGCTTGCAAAAATCTTTTGGGTAGCGTGTAATAAGTAATAAATTTTTAGTATGTAACTGTGATTCAACCAGAAAAAGACAAAAACATAACGAAACGAAAACAATGTAAAATAATTAACTAATTGGTAATGAAAGTAAGCAAAACTGAAAACTGATTGAGAAAAAAATACCAATGATTAGTAAAAATCTATATATGCTAAATGTGTTTTCATCTTGGCTTGAGTTGGGGCTAAAATGCTTTCAATATTTTTGAAGTAATGGTTAACCTTATATTTCCGTAATTGTTGTAGATTTCTTTACATTAGTGCTTTGATTCTATTTTCAAACCTCCTTTGGTTTCATAAACAATTGGTAAACTTTATAAATTAAGTTTAATTTGAGAGATAAAATATTTTTCTTTTAATTAAATTTTAACTTTTTTTTTATTAGATTAGATAATTTAACTTTTTTTGAAGAGCTGATTATTATTTTCTGAGCAAAGTATTCATTATCTTGCATTCTGTTAGCTTGATTTCTTCAAGTGTATGTAAACAGCGGTAGAGTACAATATTAAAAGATGCCTGTGTGCTCTCCCTCCTCTCTGAACCTCAATCTTCGCCACCCCCTCCGCCGCATCTGCCCCATGTTTACGCCTTTCTCAGTGCCTCTCATTTTGATGAGGATGAAGATGGAAGCTCCGCTCGCCTCGTGCCGTCAGATGTTTGCTCGTGTAATGTTGCATACGTTATGGCGACTAGTACACATACACTGGTACCTCTTCAAACACACGCACACACTGACGTTATTAGCAAAAGGACGCATCCGATGGAGCAGAAAACAGCCAGCGATATGCGCACAAAGTTTAACTTTCATATGTAAATTCCTTTTTATTACGAGTACAATATCCGAGAGAGATAGAGACGCGCCTGATGGAGGAGTTTTGCTGCCGCTCGACATGATACACTCATAATCCGTTATGATCTGATACTGATACGGATGATGCCATCATAGCGACAGCCTGTGCCACCAGAGATTATTATAATTTAGTTACCAGCGCGGCTCCTGCGACGACACTTGTGCGCCATTCTTTATGCAAAATAAGCAAACGAGATGCCGGAAAGTGAAATCTGGCAGATTTTTCGTATGATTGAAGAAGAGCGTGTAAACAGCGATAGAGTAAACTTCATAAATGTCAAACAACGGAAGGCTTAAAATGTTTGGCATTATGGAATATAAGCGGCCTCTTATCCCTTCAGTTGCCACACAGAGAAAAAAATCAGATAATAATTTGCAGAATAATTAGTTGCTAAAAGAATAAGATAATCAATCGAACCGTAAACTATAAACTTACTGAATAATTTGGCACTTTGGATTAAAACTTAATTATACAATTTTAAAATAATATTTTAACTGAAGAAATTTCCAAATTTGAAAACGGAATAATAATAATAACTGGTGTGCTATATGCTTGTTTTATAATTAAATAACTTAATTTAAGATTATATTCTTTTATTGTTAGTATGAGTTCAGTGAGTTATGTCACCAAATTTTTTTGTGAAATTTTTTGTACTTATTTTAAAAGATTACTACGTTTTTGTTTTTCTCTGTGTGGCCATCCTTTGCCTTTCAAATTCCACTTTAATAAGTAAGCAGGAGCCGAGAGTTCAGTCGACCTCATCAAAATGTTGCAACAGCTCTTGAGCAACTTCCGTTTTTTGATCTGCTGATGGTTTGCTAAAAACGCTGCCAGAGTGCAATGGCTCTGAATAAACGGCGCCTGAATTATGCAACACGTTTAAGTGCCTGCATTCTTTGTGCCCAAACACACACACTCACACACAAGTTTACCGAAACCCCAGATTCTTTTGTGCATTTTTGTTTACTCTACTGCAGCAGGGTCGAATGCCTGGTTGCTGCTGTAGATGCTGATAAAACTGTTGACAGTCGCCAGATAAAACTGAAAATTTACAAGTAAATGATATTGTCTGGCGACCAGCTGCCCACTTTGTGGCTGATTGCACTTTACCTCAGAAGGGGAGTGTCCTCCTCTAAGGGAAACACCTGCATAGCTATAATGAGTTTTTCGCTGTTCTGCAACTTTGTGTTATCCATAATTTATAAAAATATATTGACAAATATAGTTGCTGATGAAAAAGTTAAATTATGAAGTCAAAGGAAAGTTAAAAAGGGAATACAAATGATGACTAACCTAACAAAGTATTCTTTTATTGCTGTGCTATTAAATAATTAGAATATATCTAACAATAGAATTTTTTAACACTATATTTCTGAATGAGATAAAAACTTACCCACTTTAGCACTTTCAAAGCCTCTTAAAATGTTTAGTCTCGTAGTTTTTGGTAAACTAAATGGAATCTATTTTATTTTCAAATACCAATATCAATTGTTTATTTCCAGTTACTTCACATGCTCTCAATATTGGTTGTCAGGCAATAACTTCAAATAGATATGACATAATAGATTTAGATAGGAAAGCTATTTTAAAATTTAGATCCATTCGAGAGTCACAAATGAAATGAAGGCAATGCCAATGCCAATGGATGGGGACATAAAAGCCAATTTCACAGTATGCCATGTGATTTATTGAGACAGAGAGCTCACCTCCTCTCGGGTTCTCGACCGCTCGGATTCCCTCATCTCCTATGTAGAGCGGCAGCTTTTATTTATCGCTAAACTAATAAATCTTGGCATAAAAATGGAAAATATTGTATACGCCATGTTGTGCCGAGTCCTGAATCGACGGCTAGGAAAAAAAATAGAGACCATAGTCGTAGCAAAAACTCATAAGTGGCAGTGGTTTAAGCACTGGCCACAAAAAAGCTTATTCACATATAAATTTCATATTAAATAATGGTTTAATGATTTTATTTGTTTATTTGTTTCCGGCATCCAAACAATTAACTCTAACGAACTGCAAACTACACAAAATGCAAACAACAACAAAAAAATAAACAAAAACTCAAACGAAAACAATAATGATCATAAAAAATTCACAGACACGCTGCGTGTCAAAGTACAATGGGTGAGTGCCTACGATATTAATTTTTTAATGTCCTTGTCCTACAAAATTTTTATTGGCGATTGTTTCCTTTTTCGCCTTTATTCTCCGCTCGTTTTCTTTACGATTATTACTCGATGGTGGCCTGGATAGAAATATATTTTATGAATTTTAACAGCTTCCGAGGCAATCACAAATCAGTTTTCTTACACTTAATTTTTTTTTTTTTTTGCATATTTTCACTGGCTACTTATTGGGGTCGTGCGATGCGAAGGCCTTCGAGTTTTAATTGCCACAGCGTGGACAGGAACGTTGTCGCCATCGTCCTGCCACAGGAATTATGTAGAATTCGGCGACAGGAGCAGCAGCACAAAATTTGGGTTTAATGGCATTGCGTGAGTTTAGCGCATTAGGAAGAAAATGCTGAACAGGGAAGAGCAGATCGCACACGTAAGTAATGCTCTAAAGTCATACTTATATTTATGTCTGCCCGTTTGTTCAGCGTTTTTTTACACAACACAAACACTATGATACTTGTAATAACAATTAACAATTAACTTTTTATGGGCTCATGCATGTTGTTGGACATATAATAAATGTTTGTTAATTCCACCTATCGATTGTGTTATTTTTTATCCCACACCCTGCATGCTAATTATATAATTTACAGGAGCATATGGCTTCCGTTAATATTGTTGTAAATATGAGGCATTAATATAAATAAATGTGGCAGCCGGTGGGTGGCCACTGCTTTAAATCACAAAAGCTTATATCTGAGTTAATATATAAAGCGATGGGGCGGCGATTGCGGTAAGTATGCCCCATCATACAATACAATCTTGTTGATTTTATTGCCTGAGCCTCAGTAATTCCCAGCTCATGTGTGAGAGTGTGTGGGCTCAAAGGACGCTTCACTTGGCCGGCGTTATGTTAATTGAGCCTGATTGACCCGTTCGAGTATCTGATGGAAACGTAAATCCGCATTGTTCTGAAATGAATGTGGAAAATGACCAAGATTGCAGAATGGCCATATTACCTGTTATCTACCACCTATAGACTGCTTTTGAAATTTATTCTATATATTTAGAAGCAGCTAATTATGAATATGAAGTTTTAAAGCAAGAAGTTTAAAGCAACGCATTCGATTTAGAAGGTACAATAACCTATGTACCGCATCAATTTATTTCATTGATTTCCAAACAAACGTTTATCATTTCCATTCGCAGAACGTATTGCATATTTGCAAAACGTATTATTCCTGCTATTTGCATAAGCACTCCATAATAAAAGCTAACAGCCGAGAATTTTCAGAGAATTCCTTAAGCAATTAAGAGCTGCCGAAGAAATTCCTTAATTTAATGAAGACATTTTGGCACACCATCCGAGCAACAACAGATGGCCAGGCCAGGAGCATTTAAGCTCAACCACCTAATGAAAGACATCTGGCTGGTGACCACAAATGGCCTGGCCCCAAGATGCATTAACCAAGGATGTGCTGAGGCATTTCCAAGTGAACGCCACGCGGCGTATGCGTAATGTTACACTCAACAGTCGGCAGAGAACATCTGCCTTTTACCCTTTTGGCAGTAAGATGTGTCAAAAGACAGAACAAGAACCGCAGGTGCGGTCTTCCTGGCTCTCTGGGTTTTGTATGTTTGTATTCTTTTTTTTTTGGAGGGGATGGAAAAGTGGGTGGTGGAGGTGGCGGCTCAAGCGCTTTTGCATACTGTAACTGTACGAGTAACAACATGCACACGGGGGCAAACATTTTTGTAAACACAGTTTACAGTGCGGTTAACAAATATTCATGGCGCACATGGCGTATGAGTGTTGCCCTCGTGGCACTTGATAAAACGCGAACACTTTGGTCCACGGGGAGATGGTTCGCGGCGGCAAACAGCAAAAAGCCAACAGAGAGTTGCAGGAGGGGGAATTGGGGGAGATGACTGGGCGTTGGGACAAACAAAATATAAAGGAAAGCTTGAAACACTTCATTATACTTTCTAATTTCCCCTTTATCGCTGCTGGCTTGCATCTTTCGGTCCCATTTATGAACGTTTTTGGTGAAAGAGGTAAACGTATTTTATCTCAATTGCTCGTTATTACTACACCAAAGAAATTACTTCAAAATTATTAAAGTTAAAAGCATTTAATACCCTCGCCAGTTCATAAAAATGTGAAAAAAATTCGACCCAAAAATCGAGTACGCACAATGGCCTTCCGAAGAGTAGAAATACATTTTAATTAGCTAATGTTGATTTCATCAAAAAGATATGTTAAACTATGGATTAAATATCAAACAAGTTAGTTATTCGAAATAATTAAATATTAATCGCGTAGCAAAATTACAAGGTAATTTAGTGCTTCTTTCATGCGGAAATTAATTTAATCACCAGACAGGTGAGTTCATAGTTTTCAAAAACTATCAGTAGAGGAGCAATGTGGTCAAAATATGGTTTTATCTTTGGGGCAGTTCTCGCCTTTAATTTTGCAGTGGATGTGAGTGAACAGAACATAAAGTGATTGGCTTGTGACTTGAAATGTGTTAATCGTTACAGGATGCTGTTGTTTTCAGGTTTTCGAATTTTCAGTGCAAGAGTTACAACGAATCGTGGGTCGTTTTCAACTATTACCGTCTGAAGGCCGTCAGCCGTGATAAGGTTCTGCTCAATATGAATGGAACTGTTATGTATCCAGCTTACGACATTCAACTTCACGTAAAAGTCTATAAAAAGGCCAATGGTTTCAAGCCGTGGTTACTGGAGTCCACTATTGACGTGTGCAGGTACTTAAAGAGGCGCTATGATCCATTCATAAGCATCCTCTACAAATTCTTAAAAGAATTCTCGAACCTGAACCACACCTGTCCGTATGTGGTAAGTATAACGAATTTATTAACATTAATTTGACATTAATATCCACATCACAGGGTCACCAAGTCGTCAAAGACTTTTATCCAAAGCCGGAGTTACTAATTCTGCCCATTCCATCTGGAGAGTATTTACTGACGGGTCGCTGGTATTTCGATAAGAAACTCATAGCCGATACAAATCTCAGTTTTATTTATTTGGAAGATCTTCTAAAAAGAACATAGAAACGCTTAATTATGCCTTCTGATCGAGAATATATATACTTCACAGCAAACTTCTGAGTGAAATTGTAATACCCTTTGCAAGAGTATAAAGAGATTTTGGAATTGTTAAGTAAGTTTAAGTGAGTTTTTAACTCGCAAAAAGCGTTTTATTTACCTTTATTCTCATCGTTCAAGTGAGATATGTAAATGATATGCGTTTTATCGCACCCATTAAGTTGTTTATATATTACTATGAACCTATAAAGCCAGTAACGTCGACACAAAAGAGATACCAAATGAATCAACGTACCTTGACCAAAAATCTCTAAAGCCGGGGCCACACAATGCCAGCCGAAATTAATTGCACAAGTGTGAATGTTGTGAAATTACGGAGAATTGTTAAACTTGCTTAAGCCCGGTAATGAGATATCATTCCGATGTCATGGCCAGGACTCTTTCTGGCCGGATATAAGCCGCCATACAGAAAGGACAGGGTTGAAATGCTTAAGCACGAGTGGAGCTTAACGCATTTTTACAACACTCATACATACATACATACGTACACTCGCACTCAAACACACACAGAACGAAGGCCAGAATGTTCAGGCAGACAGTGAAAAATATGACACCCTATTTCCGTTTCCCGTACGCTGACAATAATGGCAGACAATATGGCGCAGCTTACGCTCAAAAGTGATTGCCACACCAGCCGACAGCTAACCAAAGTTTCGTTGAATGCAAAAACAAAAAACCGCTCTCGCACACACACACACACACAGTCGCTTACACACACACACACATATAAAGCGGCAGAAAAGCTGGCAAAAGATTATATGTCTGGGATTTTTGGGGTAATTTAAGCGGCTTTTTGCCAGGAACCAAAAAGAAAATCCCGAAAAAAATTATGTGTATGTATATGTAAAGGCGCAGCCTAACCCTGTGCAAGTTTTAAATTAATTTTCATTAAATGTGGCGCACACGAAATTGTTTTAAAGTGATTATGGCCGTGGAAAATTATGCTCCTAATAGAGGAGCAGCGGGGATGGAAAATGGGAAATTCACGAGAGGATGGGGGCACCTAAAAGCAGGCCACGGCTGTTGACAATGATGGCACATTTAACGGTATTAGACAGGATGTCGCTGTGTGTGTGTGTGTGAGGATAGCTGGGGAAATAGAAAAAGAGGGACAGAGAGAATGAAAAAGAAGGGAGAGAGAGAGGAGGAGGAGAAGGGATGTAGACTGCCCCTGGTTTCACCCAATCAATATGCATTGCATTATTGTCATCCCTTTTTTAATAAATATCTTTTTAATTATGCATAAATTATAATTAACTACTCGGGGCTGCAGCTAGCGGTTGCAAGTGCCACATCGGCAGCAGTCGAATCGCAGTCGTTGCATAATAAATGCCTGGCGCACATAATTAGTGTTAATTATTGAATTAATGCACTCGCCATTGTAATTTCATATCCATGAGATGCACTCGGCCAGCCCTTTATCTCTATACTGTCGGCATATTTCAGTTTACTTTTTTAATTGCCCGTTATTAAAAATATCACATATTACACGTGAATATGTTTTAATTACGCCTTTAAGTGATTTACATTGATATTTTGCGAGCAACTGGAGCTCTCGAGTGCGCGTAAAAAATATCAAAGACTAATGAGCTGCACTTCGGGCTGAATGGGGAATGTACTTAATGAATTGATTATTCAGCCAAGTACTTTAATTGCGTTTATTATTGGTTAAGCATATGTACATTTTATGGTAAGAGCACAAGCAATGGAAGTTGAATTTTGCACACTTTCAAATGAATTTAAGCTAAGCTTAATACTTACTAATCATCTAACAAAATAGTATTTGTTCAGTGTGGTTAATGCAGTCAATAAAATGCCAAGGTAATGGTTTAGGAATCTCGAAATTTGAATGAAAAACAAAACCAAATTTATTTGTGCTTCCAACATGGACAAGATATTAAGATTAGAATTGGATATTTAACATATCTGTTTAGTTCAGGTTTAACGTTGGAAGATTTTTAGTACTTAAGTCAAGCAAACAGCTGAGAATTGTTTTATTTTATCAGATTAAATTTTGGTACTTACACGTTTTTGTTAAATTGAACATTAATAAAATAAATTACACAAAAAATGTAGGTAACAAATAGTCTTAGGCCTTAAAGGTTATATATGTAATTGGCTTGTCAAATAGACACCAAATTCTTTTAATGCCTGCCAAGACTTTAAATCTGTCCAATTAACGAATTGAATATCGATTTAAAATTTAACAATGCGCTTGTTGGGATGTGTAATTTTCCCGATTATCCATCCAGAATGTCAATTCCAATTTGATTCCTTTTGAAATTACCTGCTGGAGAAATATAATAACCCCAGCCATTAGAAGACAAACAAGTTCTCGAGCACCGCAATTGCCGGCGAACGGCTGTCTCGGTCTCGGCGTGTTTGTGTTGACTGCTGTCGCCCTCGCACAGCCAGGCAACCTTTCAACTTTATTTATTAAAAGTGCTTATTACTTTAACACTTGAGCGCGATTTAACACGATTTGCTCAAGTATTTTCGTACGACAACGAGGACACATTCCGGGGCTCTCGTTCGCCAAAGAGCAAGCGAGTGTCAAGGTATGTCTCTGTCTGGGCCAACTGACTGTCTGTCTGTCTGTCCGTCGTCCTGTCTCTGCTCGAGTGTCCTGTGCCGGCTCTTCGTCCTCGTCGTCGTCTCGCTCCCCCCAGGATCCTTGAGTATTTAGCTTACCTACCGAGCAGCGAAAGCAGTTTCATCTTTTTCATGTGCAGTGAGCAGCTCTGCCAAGGAAGCAGCTATATCATTTTTACTCTTTTACCAGTCGGACACTTAGAAAAATAAACTGAATTTTATTTAATAAATAAATAAAGTACATGAAAATATTCACACCTGCGGGACACACAAAAATTATACTACATTTAGTAAAAAGATACAGAATAAGAGTTGAATTGAAAAAACCTTTTCTTAACTCAAAAAATATTTAAGATTGAAGGAGAATTTGAATAAAAACTGAAGACGTTGGTAATTTAAAATCAAATTGTTTTGTAATAAATAGGTAAATCGTTATACTAAAGATATTAAGAAATAATAATTTGAATCGCAAAAATGTTTATTGAATTATAAATTCATATAAGATAAGTATCGTTTTAGTGATAGATATACAAAGACATTTTATGAGATAAAACTAAATAAATCAGATGAGCTTCTGTGATTTTTTTATCTGTACACCGACAGTTGTCCTTGGATGCTCGTTGTGTGTGAGGTGGGTCCTTGCTTGCTCTTCAACGCCTGACTGTTGGCTGTAGATCGACTTGACTGCCTCAGCTTCATCTTCAGCCCCCCGCCCCTTGAGGATGCCACGCCCCCTCTTCTGGCGTGCTATCATTGCCAGCATTTTGCTGGGGTTTGCCAGGGGTTTTTTCTGGGGTTCTGGGGCCTGCCCCTAATATTGCCCTTGACTGTTGTCAACATGTTCAGCGTATTTGTTGTTCGAGTTGTTCCTGTTTCTCCCAGTTTCGTTGTTCCTGTTGTTGTTGATGCTGCTGTTGCTGTTGTTGTTGTTGTTGTTGCTATTGCTGTTGACTTTAAGTGTGTTGATTTCATACAATTAACTTTTTGTCTGTTTGTTTTGTGCGACTTCTGCTGGCGTTGCTCGCTCTAATTTCCTGCTCCGTTTTCTGGGGGAATGCCGGGCGAGAGTCACTGACATCGTTTGACAGCCACGTGAGCTTTAACAAGCTGAAGCAAAAACGGCAAAACTGAAACCGACCGCAAACGTGGCGGATACGCAACGTGGATTGTTTTCTCTTTGTTTTTTTTTTTTTGGTTTTTGTTGTTTTTGCAGCAGAAGCAAGCTGGAAAATTTAATATTTATTTTTATGTTTTTGATTTAATTTTCCTCTTTTTTCAAGCTTTACGAGAGTGTGTGCGTGGCCATGAGGTTTCGCGTTGTTGCTGCTTTGGGGATTTATGAAAAATTTAGTTTTCCTTGTTATTTTTACTGCTTTGAGGTGATTTTTATTTTTATTCTCATCGCGGGACGCGCGTTAAGTTCCGCTTTTATATTTTTATTATTTCTCGTTCGCTTTTTACGGTTGGATGTGTGTGTGTGTTTATGTGAGTGAGAGTGTCTGTGTGAAATGTCATTTGTTTTAATTTGCCAGACGTACGTGAAGCGGATTATTTTAATTTATTGTGCACCTATACAGGCACTCGCCTTTTCATCCATTCCTCGAACGCATTAAAGTGTGACGTTTGAAAATCAACGCTTCAAGGTTAAATTAAAATTAGCATTTTGACCAGGCCCACAAATCTTCGCTAATTTATAGCATTTCCTTTTATATATTCGGGGCCATAAAAAGCAGATATATAAACTGGCGCCTGGTGATTAATGCGTCATAATTAGAATTGCGGGTCGGGTACATGCATAATTCCACGTGGCAACCCTATAAATCATGCCCCCGGTGAGTGTGTGCCGTAATCTAGCCACCAAATTCGGTGCTGTCTGTCAGAGACACTTAACTTTCGTGTTGGCAGCGCAGGTTCATCGCCAAAGTGTCGGCACACAGATACGTATGTCCACCCACACCAAAAACTCCGCCCACCTGTACCCTCTCAGCCAAAATAAATGCGTTATGCGTGCGCTTAAGTGCTCATTAATTTGGAATGTCAAACTATGTTGACTAACGCAAACGTTCCACGTTTAATCGTTTTGAAGAGGACCTCGTTGCGGTCTTGATGAGTTCCTGGCTGCCTCAATGCCGCATCCCTGTCAAATTGATTTAGAAGAGCCTCATAAAAGCAGCCCGGTCAACATTTAGGCCGGCAGGCACATACCCACACCCAAAAATTGAGGCCGACATCAGGTGGAGGATTTCACGTAGCAAGGCATTTTCAATTGAGATATTTGCAAATTCTGTTCCTGCTTAAACACAGACGAAAAAATCAAAAACTCTTTTAAAACTCGTTTGTGAAGATTTAAGTAGAAATTTTTTAAAATTAAAAAATGTGTAAAATGTTGTTTTAATTCCAATTTACACAAGTTGTTAGTGTTTATATTTACTACTTTATTAAGAAAATACAAAATATAACACTTCTTTATTAAAACAGTTCTCTAGTTCTCTAGAGTGTTACTACGATATTTTTTACTTATAATTTAAACTTAACACTTTATAGTGTCTGTTATTTTAAGAGTTTCTGAGACCTTTACTGTTTTTTTTCCAAGTGCTTGGAATTTTAATGATGGGCATTGTTGCCTCGTGATCTCCTGAGTAAAGTTCGAAAAAATCGGGTTGGCCTAAAAGGGATGCGGGCTGGCTGGTCAACATGCAACTGGAGGATGCCGACGTGCCTTCGTTGTGGTCAGTTGTTGCACGTTGCAGGGTCAGAAGTCATTCAGCCTCTATTAGGCTGCTAATTGAAATACCAGCACGAGGATTGGAGCAAACAGTCAAAAAGTTGCCGGAGTGCTCGACTTTCGATTGGCAAAGTAGAGTGAAAGATACGGAAGGAATTGGCAAAGGTAACTGAAAGTTAATTGATTAAATAGTATTGAGGTTAAAGACTCTCATTGTTTTTCACTCTTTAAATTAATGTTGCATAACCCCTTTGTTATTTTTTGATTGTTTGTTTATCTTTTTTTTGAAAATTTAAGCATGCGCTGAACGTGCTGGCAAACAAGTCTTTTTGTCATCAATATTTTTGTGACTGGCTTATATTTAAATATAAAAAGCATATTGTTTAAACAGTATTATTTGACATATGTTAATTTTTAAGTAGTGCGTGTTTATGATACGAGCAGAAAATATTCGCTTGTTAATCTTTGCTAAATTTTTAATGAGTATTGTTTCCATTTTTACATTAGTTATGAACATTGTTTTGGGCAGGATTCATGATAAAATAACAAAAATATGACTTCCTCCGCATATACAAATTGGATCACAGCTGCCATCAGCATAATTATCTCACGTTTATGACGCAAACCCATTGCTCGTCTGTTTTATTTTTAAGGGACTGTTTACGTGCTATACAGTTGGGATTCCATCATTAGGAATTAAGCAAAAGTCAGTGGCGGAAGCTAAGTACTTGTCAAGTGATGATGATGCCGGAGTTCTTTGCAAGGCCAAAAGTTTTTAGAGTATGCGGGTTATTCCCCAACTTCCCGACCCCGGCGACTCCATTCAACTTTGGTTCGCTTCGCTTTTTATTCTCCGTCTTCCTGCCGCTGCTGCTGTTGCTACTGCTACTGCTGCTGCTGCTGCTGCTACTGCCACTGCTGCATCCTTAAATATTTTCCCTTTAATTAAAATTTCAACAAGCCAGACTCCCTCCGAAAGAGACAGGAATTGTTGGGCAGAAAAAGAGAGAAAGGGAGATAGAGATAGAGAGGGGAGTAGCGCAGACATACCCGCATAAATTAACTTTTGCGTAGGTGACTGTGCGCACGGTTTTGTATGGGAGAGTTACCCGGGTCTTTGGAATACGGAATACGGAGCGTGGTAAGCTGGGCGTAAGTGCCTTATCTTAATACCCCGCCATATCTAGGGCCTAATGCATATAATAGGCCAGGCCTGCTATTTAAAGTCTAACAACCCTTTTTATATGCAAATTGTTGCGCCACACGTACATGCCCCAACGCCCCCTCACTTTTTTTTTGTGTTTTTCCTCCACCCTCCGGTTGACTCTCCCCATCCATCCCGGCAACTTGACATTTTTTTAGATACTCGACGGTGAACCCTCTGCCGCCCTTTTTAATTTCCCTCATTTAAACATTTTGTGAAAAGTCATATATATACTCGCATGGTTGGGTATGAGTTTTCCTTTGGTGGGCGCTGGTATGCGTGAGTTACGCTTCCAACTTTTAACACGGCTTCAGTTCACCAGGTGTATGCGAGTGTGTGTGTGTATTTGTGTGTGCGAGTGTGAGTGTATGAAAAACGTTAAAATAATTTGCAATTTAAATAGTTTTAATTAACTTTCACTAATTTGCTGTCGCTCAACTTGCACAAGTTGGCAAACTAATTTTAAAGTGATTTATTATTTAAACAGCTTGATGATTGGCAGTGCCCTCTCGGAAAATAGAGCCAAACCGCCAACGGCCTAATTAGCTGAAGGTGTAAGGGCTCTCCACACTTTGTGGCTCTTTGACAATGTAAAACTGGGTTAAATACGCCGCTGGCAGAAGTCCCAAAAAGAATATTTAGAACAGTTTATTGACCTAAATCAATTAAACAGCAGTTGGGATCATGTTAAAAAATAACAATGTTGGTCTTTAAGTAATTATAAGGCAATCGTCATAGGCCCAAAGAAATGTGGTCAAGCAACCGCCTGATCCATAAACAAACATATGGTTATAATTCCTGACCAGATAAAGTGTCAATAGCAGCATTATCAGAATTGTCAGCAAAAGTAATCCAGTGGCCACCTCTTCGCAGCCAAGGTTTTTGAAAAATCTAAAGTTTTAAAAAGGGAAAATATTTATTCAAATTTAATATTAAATATCCAAGTATTTTATATTATTTACTTACCGAAATCCTTTGACTTTGAATTCGCATTTTGGTTTAATGATTAGCTTATCGGAATGGCGATTTCTGGCCAACTGAACTGCTTGGCGGGCTCCATCGCCCATTTTTCGCTTGTAATTGGAGAAGATCTCGGTTACTGTATCCCGTGTTCTTTCCATTATAATCTGAACCCTTGCGGATTTCTTCATGTCACAGTCGTCAGTCAATAAAGGATCCATTATACTTAATTGGAGCTAAAGTTTCCAGCTGCCAATAAAATTACCAGCTTACAAATCAATTGACAGTTTTCTGACAACTTATTCAGGGCATTAAAAATTAAAATATTTACTATTATGAATGAGGATTTCAATAAATCAATTAAAAATCTTAGATGAAATGCATTTCATTACCAGTAATTAAATTTCGGTAATGGTTTGAGTTCATAGCTTTAAAGTCTTAAGCCATTTAAAGTCTGAGACGAATTAATAACATTATGCAAATTTTAGAACGTCACATAAATCAACGCATTGAAATCGCCATGCAATAAATGCGCACCCAAAAGGCAAATAATGGCAGAGTCATTAGATAAATTTATTTCGGATTCCACACAAACAGAGGCAAATTGAAAAAAAGACAGCGCCAAATGGCAACAACATCGGCTCAAAAAGATAAGGGGGAAATCGATAACAACGGGCAAATTGAAACCGAAAATTTACAGTAATCAGCATAATATAGCAAAACCGCCATTAAAATCATTATGTACCAAGTTTAATGCCTATTTATGGCTGATTTCAATTTAAGTAGCGAACCCCCCATCACTCCCTTCCCGCAAACAAAATAGGACTACACACAGAAATCCGGAAAACCTGCTGGCGTTAATTTCCAATAAAAAGCCGCTCTGCAAAAAGTAATTAACAACAAATTACGAAACCGTAGCAAACAACAACGGCCCAAATAACCGCCGCAACCAACACACTTAAAGCTAATTAAATTTTACGCTGATTCCCTTCACAAAAACCCCCTCTTGTAGTTCCATAACTGATTGTTGGCAATAACGACGACCACAGAAATTGGAGAGCCACAACATCTGGCATGAGTAAAGCCAAAATAATATATATGAAATATATTATATATAGGTACAATAAATAAAATAAAACTGATCAAAACTTTTGGCATTCATTTAAAAGGAGCTTTCTTTTCGGTCGCTCAATGAAATCAAATAAATTAAGCGCTGACCAGCAGCCAAACACAATTTGAAGCCACCTAATTGATTTGCCAATAAAATTCACAAAACTCCAGTGGCCACCGCAAAAAGGACTCTCCGCATGAAAAGGCGAGGCCACATAGCCTGTAATTTGTAACCGGCCAACTGCAAGAGCCAAAGTAATTGACGCCCCGCTCGCACACACACACACATACACACACGCCCAGGCGAACCCATACATATGTACATTAATTACCGCAAAGTAAAGGAAACTGAAAGGTGGAAGGTGGAAGGAGTGTGGTCCAATGCCAGCAAGGATATGACGACACTGACGGCTGGCCAAAAACCATTTGGGCCCGGCGAAGCGAAACTAATGTGCAGCGGCCAGTAGAAATGTCATTCGTGTGCAATTGTTGCCGCCGGTGTAATTTCCTTTTGCAATTCTTCTCGATTAAAGACACCGCATCTGAGCGAAATGGGAGACATCCTTCTTGTTAAATACATTCGCAAAAAATGTCGACTCCACTTTTTATGGTTTTATTATTTGTATAAAATCGATATATTTTTTGTTATGATCCAAAACGAGGAAAATAATATTGTGCAAATATTTTATTTAAAACTTATCAAATACCAACATTAAAAAAAATTCAATACGGATATAAACCTTTATATTCTTTTTAATTGCTTTAAAACATTTGTAATTTATTCATGTGCACGGATATGGATTAACATGAAAAAATGTACTATGGTACCTCATTTAAAAAATAAATTTAACTCTAGCCTTTGTAAGACATTCATTCAATTTTAATATATTTATTAGTGTTGCAGTATGTATTTTTAAGTATTTTTTAGGCTTACAATTATTGTAAGTAAAATCGATGCTTAAAAATGTGTACTGCTATGTTGATTGCTGGACTGATCTCATTAGCTTTTGAGTGCTCCACTTGAAAACGTATCAAAATGGCTGGAAAAAGGGAGCATTGCTTTGAAGCAACCGCCGTTGGTGCAATGCCGCGATGGCCTCCAAAGTTGACCATCCAGTCATTTGAAAGGGAGTGCCTCGATGGCGCCCTGCAGCGCGAGTTGCAATCATATTAAAAGCAGAGCCCCAGTGCAAAACATTTGATGCCAAAACAGCGCGAACATGTGGCCTGCAGAGTGTGGCAAGCGGCGCGAACCGGCGGAATGACTGCGATCTTCCGACCTAAACTAATCATGGCTGCCCATCAACTGCGCGGTGGCTGGAGAGAGAAAAAAAAATACCGGAAACCGTAACACTTCGCCCGCCATTTGCATTTCCCCAGGAAAATGGGGGAATATCGTGGGCAAGCGGCAGGCTGGCTCAAAGCGAATGCTGCCAAATGCTAATTTCCTGGCTGAAAACTTTTTGGTCATTTGCTTTATTAACGACAAAAAATGAAAAAGGAAACCAATCCTTAACCCATTTTAAGTGGAGCAGTAAAATAAACTTTTATTTTACTATTCGTTAGAACTATTAAGATATAATTGAATTTTAAAAGCCACTGAAATAACTAATTTGTAGAGAAATAATTTATTCACATACCATTTAAGCAAGTTTCTTTTTTATTTTTAATAAATATTAAAGAAAAATTCTAAGACTTTAATTTTTACAAAGGATATTATCAACTCCTTTTTTAAAGTACTTTTATAGGGTTAATTGCAATTCCTTGATTTGAATTAAATTTCCAAGATTCAGGATGTGGCGCTAAGTGCACACCCGCTTCCACTCGAGCTTTGCATAACTCATTAATGGCGAAAGTTTCTGGTGCTGACACTATCTGAGATGGAGATAAAGACCCCGGCTGGCCACAAAAGCCAGGTCCCCCAATCCCAAATCACGAATTGCAAACGCAAAGAGTTGGAGTTGGAGACGTCTTGACTGATGCAGCGGGGGTCAAGTGGGTCATTTATCGGGCCAGGAATGGCACAATATGGCCGCATAAGGCATGGCCATCGTCATCAACATCTGCATCATCATTACACTTACGATCATGTGCTGCATGTACGCAACAAAAATTAATTGTACCCACATGCAACAGGAAACGAGACCGAAACGGATCCGAGAAACCCTTGCCGCAAATGAGAAACTCGGACAATCGCATTCACACATTCTCGGCCAGAGACAATTGAAACTTTTTGTCCGAGGACGAGGATGAGCGTACGAGAATGAGAATTAGAACGACGACGACTACAATTCTGCTCGCATTCACATTTGAGGACACGAGCTTTTCTTCTTGGCCGACCGGCCTGACATGCGTTGGCAGGGACCCCCAACTTCGCTTTTTCACTTCCCCATTCTTATGTGATAAAGCATGTGTTCGAGCACTGAGAAAATGTGACCTTTTTGATTAATGGTGAGTGTTTTATTAATAAAAAGAAATATCTTAAAAAGTACAATTAGGAATATCTCAGAATATGTGCATTGTTTTCTGATACCAAAATTCATAACGCAAGAAATCAAATAATACATAATAAAGTTGTCTAGGAATTGAAAGAAGATTGCTGGCTTAGGTTTTTCTAAAGAAACGGTTCTTGCTATAGATATTAAATTAATTAAACAATTTATTTTTTTTAAAGGTGTTGACTGTATTTACAAAAAACCTAAAGGGCTTATAGGTTCTTGGCATTGAAGAACTCTTTTTTTCCGAGTGCGTGTGCGTACACATAAGTTGGCCAAGCTGTTGGCCTGCTTGTGGTCGGTTTGCCTTCCAGCCATATACCCATCCATTCATTCAGTTTGACATGGCAGCTGCCTGGTCAGCCACCCGACTCCCTTCCCCTCCCCTTCCTTTCCTTCCCTTTCCCTCACCTCTCGTCACTCAACTCGATTCCTTTCCTTTCCTTTCCATTCAAAGAACTCTTGTTATGCTCGCCCTGCTTGCGGTTTTGTCCATGGCCAAATGCAACAGCGTCTAAGGGAACGTGGCGGCCGCTTGTTGTGGGAGGTGGTTGCAAGCACAGCTGAGTGGCAAGACGAAGCTCACGCCGCATTCGTCGTCGTACACAGTGAATTACTGTCAAAGATATTCCTTAATCAGTTATCATGTCTTATTTGTATGCCAAACTTCATTTTCTTGACAGGATAAAATTTGTTTTAATAACTTATGCATTTTTGATTTTTATTTTTTATTTCTGCTCGATTTAATCATCGATTCAGAAGTTTGCACTTTTCCTTATTTTGATCAATGTGTTTCTCGTGAATGATTTCCAAAAGTAACAAATGAACTTATCATTTTTTGTTGATATTTCATTTGTTCGTTTTTTTTTTATCTGTACAGTCATTGACGAAGTCCGTAGCCGTAGTAGTTGTGTCCGGAGTCGCAATCGGAGTCAGTTGAGTGCCTTTGTTGCGGTTCATTCAGTTGTATATATGGCTCGGTCAAATGTCCTTACCGTTGCTCGGCTCGTTGCTTGGCTTATAGCTCTTGGCCTGGTCCGTGGCCCTCAGCTCTGCTCTGCTCTGCTCTGCTCTGCTCTGCTCTGCTCGGTTCGGTTCTGTCGCCTCATCGGTGCTGTCGCATTCTTCAATGTCTCCTTTTAGTAGCGTCATGGGCTTCATACTTTGTATTGAAAAGTTTTCGCGCGCGACTGACAGCAGCTGAATGCAGCTGAATGTGCAGACTGTCTTTTCTTTCCGCACACACACATACATATATTCACTGTCTTGGGAAACTTTGGTGGGTTGCGGATATCCCAATGAACGAGTGGGGTCTTCTTTTAAAACAGAAAGACGGAAAATTGCCATTATGTTTTATAGTCAACTCAAATGCTTTAATGATTGTTTTCCTACCACAAATTAAATTAAACAAATATTTTTGTTTTTAAATAAATGCTTGCTAAACAAAAATTAATATTTCCCAACTTCACAGTAGTTAAATTTTCATAAGAATAGAAGAACTTTTCTTACTGTTTCGAATTTTGCTTGCTGGGTTCACTTATTTTAGCCGCCGTCCACTGCAGTCAATGTGTTTCCTTTCCCTCCTTTTTTCGGTTTGAATGTGTGTGTGCATTGTCCTCGTTGCCATTGTTTAATGGTCACATTAAAAATGCCTCATTGTTGGCTGTGTTGTCGTTGTCGTTGTCAACTTCTGACCGCGCCCTTTGCACAATATTTTCCACTGCATTTTCCCCAACCACCGCCCACTTTTCTCTTTGCCTTTCCCTTTCCCATTCCCCTGCCATTTTCATTTTCTTTCGGCCACGGCGCAGAAAAAGTATGCAATACAAAATGCATGCCGGCGGCATTGGACTTTTTTAGTGGCTTGCATTGCACTTTCTGTTTACTCGTCCTCTGCATGCAGTTGTGTGTATGTGTGTGTGGGTGCGGGTGTTTGCACGTGGGTACATTAGCTGGAAATTTAAGGTGCGCACGTGTGTGTGCATGCTGCCGCACAGTGGGCATTTACAGCAAACAAAACATCCTTTGTGGCCATCGACTTTTCGTGGATTCTGGTGCAGCTGCCGCAGCAGCAAAGTCCTTCATGTGAGCACAATGCCGAGTGGCAACAAGGTGCTACAGCCTGCACTTTTCAACTAGCAACCCCCCTTCCCCCCTCCCCTTTTCGACCAGCTCTCTGGGGCATTGAAAGGGCTTATTATGGCAGGTGCCCTTCTGCCCAGTGATGCTGGAAAACTAATCCGAAAACAGGACAAGACGTCTGCGACAAACTGAAGCAAAAGGTTATTTACCTTTCAAATATTCAGCCAATAAGAAAATCTTCTATTCTTATTTTGAAAAATATTCTCTTTCAAATATAATATGTTTACTAGGAATTTATGTATTTTCTTCTGAAAAGCTTTTAATTGTCTTTTAAAATGATCCATAAAGTGAAGTTTAAAAAACCTGATTTTATAGTTCAGCTTTTATAATTTTACCCTGCGTTCAAAGCTTCAAAAAGGTAAAAGATATTTCGAATATATCCAAATTGCCATCCCAGTTACTAAGTACACTTATGGCCAAAAAGGGGAAGCAAACAGAAGTCGTATTGGCAACAGAAAGGAAGCTTATTTGAGTTGTTAACTGATGTGGGCGTGGCTCTTTTGGCTCCACTAATAGTTTGTTGTTTGCCAGCTTCATTGTGTGTGTTTTCCTCGGTCTGCTGGGAAAAATTAGATAATTGAAAACGAAACTGGAAATAATGATGCTGCTGATCGAAGCTAAGTAAGCTTAAAAGTTTACCTCAGTTGGGCAAGGGAAAATTGCGTTGAAATTGCCAATAAGAGAAATTCCAAGTTATCGTTGCACAGATAATCCACAACGTCTTGATTAAATTGCGTGGGCATTTCGAAAAGTTGGTGAAACAATTAAACCGAAATATGGATGAAAGTCCACAAATCACGCAGGCAGCCGGAAATGGCATTAAAATAATACATTAACTTCACCAAACGTTGCGTCGCCCACACAAAAATGTGATTAATTTAAAGGAATGCCAAAACGATGAGGCGGAGTAGGAAGTTCACAAAGTTATTAACGGAGAGTCGCCGCCTAATACAATTCACGAGTAATAGCATTGTAATAAAAACAAATTTCCACAAACGTTTGCCCTAATTGTACGATGGGAAAAAAAATGAACGAATTACCCCCGAATTTCCCACCGCCGCCCGTTGAAAGAATTTTCCTGCGGTTCGCGCGGGTGCGGACTATTTGCGGGGACTGTTGCTCGCGCGACCAGCGTGACACAGAAAATTTCACAGTACTGTAGCACTGGCTGAAAAGCAGCGAAAATCCCCCACAAATTGTTTTGGCCAAGTAGTTGCATGTGAGTGGCGCATAAGCAGCCCCTTCCCCCTCTCTCTGGACTCCCCGGCTCCCACTTCGATGGCTCCTTGCCACAAGGTGCTGCCCGGATCGTGAGGTTGACGTTGACGGTGCTGACTAAGGCGACGACAAAACACACGAACATAAACCCCGAGCACACACAACTACGACAATATAAACACGATAAGCAAAAAACTGCGATTTCCCCTCGGGGGAACGGGTCGCTAGTAAGAATTTGAACGGCGGTGGTGGGGCTAATGGTGGTTTGGAGTGTGTGGTTGGGGGTAGGGGGTGGTGGCAGGTCAGGCACTGTGGTGCAGTAGTGGGAAATTTAGGAAACATAACTATGAAGTTTAAGCAATGTACAATATTTCAGCTGTCATATGCAGTCGAACAATAATAAAAGTTAGTCGAGGGAAAAGGGTTTTGGCAACTAAAAGGGATGACAATGTATCCTGTCAACAAAGTTTTCATACCAATCAAGCTTTAAATTTGAAACTCTGGTTGTTCTAGGAACTCAAATAAAATAACAACCATTACTAAGACAATTAAACAGGGGCATGCTTCACGTTTTATTGAAAGATCCATTCATTATTTCAATAATTTATTCATCATGTTTTATAATAATCCCTACAATCGCTGAACGAATTTATAATAACATACTTATTGTTTGTACAGCTCAATAAAAAATAGCCAGATCTAGATAATGACTGAATAATAAATACATCAAATATTTAATAGGCCTGCGAAAAATGATTAATTATAAATTAAATTTCATTCATACAATTTATTTAATCTTTTTAATTTACAACAAAGAGACAAGTCAAAGAGTTAAGTGATTTGAAATATTTATAGCAGCACTGTAAAATTTTTTGAATGCAGTTTTGTTTTATAAACAACTTATTCGTCGCGTTTTTCCATAATCCTTAAAGCCCTCAAAGTAATTTACATTTAATGATTTTATACAAATTATACTGAGTTATGTAAATTTAATGAAAATTTAAACAGTTTATTTACTGCACCCTGCATTAAAAATGTTTTATATATTTTTCTTAAGTTCATTTCAAATTAAAGATTCCTATGGTGTAGAAAGGTACTCAAGCCACCTTTGCAAGTGACTTCTTCGGCTCATTTAGGAGCCCAGGATCCCTGCGACCACCGTGCGATGATGCCACCCAGCAGCAGGGGGCAAAAGGAGTTCCTGCAGGACTGCCTGCGATGAGGTAGTAAGCATTTTCCTGGCTGGCAGCTCCTAACTGAAAATCAGTTTTAAGACCGAAGCTCTGCCGCGGGCCAAGACAAAATCCCCACAATCAATCGGTCAAAGCCGGGAATCTACTGGATCCCATGCGAACATAATAATTAGAGAGGATAAGGAATCCCATGGCTACGCCACTGGCCGACAGGTAATAGTGCAATGAGAAAGGTGAAAAAGCCAAACGGTTAAGAGAAACCCAGCAAATGGCCCCCAGGATTTCCCTCAGCGTTGTGTATATTTGTGTGTTCGAGTGTGTGTGTGTGTGTGTGTGCGAGTGCTTGCGGTTTTCCTAAGCAGGGCACAATTAGTGGTGGAGCAGGAGAGAGGGGGGCGGTGCGGTGGGCGGTGGGCAGTTAGCCCCAAAAGTCAGTCACTAACACAGGCGAACGTGTAATTCGATTCGCGGCAAATGCGGGAGAAAGAGAAAGGCACTCTCTAAGAAAATTGGCTGCGTCGCCGAGGAAATTTAGAGTGGACAAAAGGCAGCAATGGCAGCAGCAGCAGCAGCAAGCAGCAGAAGCACAAGCAGCAGCAGCAGCGGGAAAAGCAGCGGGAAAGCCAGCTGAAAAGCCAGCAGGCAGCGCAGCTCGAAAACACAATTCAAAAACACTTTGACCGGCAAAGTTGCCACACGGAATTTCTTCTTGTGCATCGGTAAAACGCCAGAAAGTAAGCAAAAGTTTCGCACTTTTGTTTTGGGCCAACTTTCTTTCCCTGAGAGTTGTTTTAATAAACTCGCCATCGAGTTCATTAAATTTGATTCAAGTAAATGTGTTTGTGTCCCCTTTTTCCCCCCCGCCTTCCCCTTCGGATAAGTGAGTGTTTTTCCCGGTTTTCCTTGAAAAACTAGCGGAGACAATTGCGGCTGATTGATAGGCAATTAGCGAAAGTGGATGCTGTTGATGTTGCAAGCGAAGAGCAACAACTGTTTGTGCATAAATAACCCAAAGCAACAACCGCCGGCCCAAGTGTCATTAACCTAATTGCCGCAAAAGAAGCCACCGCACCACTTTCGGCCAGCCGAATAAAAAAATCCACGGCCATAAATAAGAGGAGCAAAGGAAGCAACGTGCAACGTGTTGCAATAAAAACAAATTTGCATAAAACAGGTAAAACCGAAACCAGCCACCCCAAAAAGGTGCAAAAAAACCATAAAAAATCAAGAAAAGGGCCCACGAGTGAAAATTCTCCCTTGGCCAACAAATATTTATTTTTTGTTGCAATTGTAAAATACACGAAATTCCAATGCAGTGAAAAGGACTTGGATCCCGGTTGGTCTCTATGTGTGTGTATATGTGTGTGAATGGTTGTAAGTGAGCTTGTGTGAGTGCGGCGGACTGGTCAAAGACACAACAGACCGATGCCACTTAAGCCAGAAGTCGTCGGCTTGTTCCCTGCCGTCTGCAATTTTTCGGTGCTTACCACTCGTTGCACTGGGGGAAAAACTAGAATACGGAATTAGGGAATGCAACAATTTATTAAAGTTAAGGCACTAAGCCTTCTTTTCGAATTAATCGAATGCGAATTATTTTTTGCATATGGGATTGAACAAATTTATACTTAAAATTTAGGGAGATTAAAAATTATTAACAGTTGATGGAAGTAAATAAAATTTGTAAGGTTATAGACCATTTCCTATTGGTCTTGTAATGAGGCCACTAACATGAATTACATGAATAACATGAATACATTTAAAATTCAAGGAAGCTTCTAGCTTGCTTTTCATACTTTTTTATTCAAATTATTAATATATTTAATTATTTAATAAATTGAGCAACTAAGAATTATATTATTCTAAATTAAGAACGTTTGTTTGGTAGCTTAATGCATTGTACAACATTTTACCCTTCGAACTTCGAGTGTATTTTTTTTCGATTTGCGAGGTAGCCGAAAGAAAGGCAAGGAAAGGCAGGGCAAATAACGCGCGATATTTTGGGCCTCTCCAACGGGCGAGTAGCAGCCTGGACTGAACTGTGAACCCGGGGAGCTCCAGTCCCCCGACCCGCAGAAGTGTGAATGTTTGTAGTGCCCACGCCGAATGGTTGAGTGGGGCTCTTTGGCCTGTTTACTGGGACAAAGGCAGTGGCAAGTGCTCGCCGGACAGCCCATTGAGTCCCTGGGAGTCCTGTGGAGTGGGGCAGTTGAAACGGAAGAGTTGAGTGGCCCGAGGAGTGGGAGTCCTGCTGCAGAAGGGATTCTGAAGAGCCCTGGGCAGCGGGAAGCAGAATTGGAAACATTGCATCGAGAGCTCGTGGCATATCGATTGCACAGAGGGTGAGGACATGGTTAACAGTTGATATTTCTAAGTGCAGTGCTCGAGAGGAACAAGGAGCAGGACATATGTTTCGTGTGCTGCAGGATTATGAATGAAGTCTTTGGGAGGAGGCTACACACACATAAGGATCCATCAAACAAATTGATAATAATTTCAAATTGTTCATTTAACGTTATGGGTATTGCAGCTCAGAATATACTACCATAATAATTTGATCTGGCAGAGTGTAATTATTTTTGTAAATAAATTAGTTTTGCTTGCTATTATAATTAATTTTAACTACGAAATAATGAGATAATTGCCATCAGCATCCACTATTAAAATCCAATTAAAATGTTTCATATTAAAACAGTACAAAAATTTAGTTGGCAATAGAAAATTCTTTGATTTTTGTTATTTTTCGTAATGGTGCATTTTCCTTTTTAATATTCGGTAATGTATGTATGTACATATATTCTTTATTATTATATACACTACTGACCAACAGAATAGGTTCACATAAAACGCTTGTATTTTCATGATTTTTTCTTCACATATTGATCGTAAACATGTTTTTAAATTACATTTCAACTTTAAATTCGCGTCGATCAGTGTGTGTTACTAAATTACCTTTTGCTAAGTACCGTTACTTATCATGTTCTGTTTTGCTATTTCTCTCTCTCTCTCTAATTTCTGTGCAATTTTTGGTTAAACTAAATAGATTCATTGGAAAGATTTTTACCGTTACTTTGCATATTATGTTTTGCTATTTTTTTCGCTAATTTTTGTGCAAACAGGTTCAGTCGAAAGGTTTTTAGTTTGCGATTAGACTTGGAGGCGTGTGATACAAATTTTGTGTTTTATTGTCAATTTAATATCATGTATCAACATGTTAAAAATTGATAAGGTTTTTTCATTTTCCATATTTAAGATATGTTTTTTGATGTAAGTATTTTAAAATAATAAATGTTGTTTTTGCCTTGAAGAGGAATTTCTAAAAGGAACTTTTTAACATATATGTAATTGCCATTTCAGTTGAGCCATCAACATACGTAGCTCCTTGCTGGACAACCAGCGACTGCGGGCTGTAGTAAAAACTTTAAGAAGCACTTTCCCTCCTGGAGCTGCAAGTTTTCCATTGCGTCGACGCGACGCTGCCCTTAGCAATTGCTGCCATTTTGACCACAACAAACCGAGCACGCAAGGTGAGCCAAGTCAGCCAGTCAGAGCCAGGTGAAAGCCTTAGGAAAACCTTAAGAAAAGCTTAAGAGAACGCTGACGTGAGTGTGCAGGACACACACCAACACCAGGACAATGTCCAACGAAGAGAACGACGAGTACATGGCCAGCTTGAGTCAGGCCCAGAACGGCGAGGATGAGGTCGATGGAGGGGGTGGCGGCGGCGGTGGGGGGACGGCTGGCAGTAACGAGTCCGTTCTGGGCGGCCAAACAATGCCACAAATTAGTCCGAACGCACCGCTCGAGGGAAACGTTTCGCCGACGCCGCCGCCGCCGACGCAGCCCCATTTGGATGATAATCTCCACAACGGCAACGGCTCCACCAGCAGCAACATCATCAACAAGCACGCCAGCAACAGCAACATTCCCAACAGCAACATCAACGGCAACGGCAACTTCAATCAGAGCGAAAGCAATCGCAGCAGTCCTGCCAAGAGTCCCAAGCGTCCGGTTTCCTCCAGCTTCCGGATTCAGAACGCCCAGTTCGATAATGACGAGGAGGATTTAGCAGCCGGTGAGCAGGTGGCAGGTGGCGATCGCCATTTGCCGGATTACTGGCAGCAAAGGAACGGCGGCGTGCAGCCAGCAACCAGTGGCCGCCAGAGCCGGGCCATCAGTCCCGGTTATCTGGACAACATGAGCGAGAACTCCGAACAGCCGCCGGTGGTGCCGCTGGTGCGGTCCAAATCCCGTCCAGAAATCTCCAGTGCAGCGGCCTCTCGCTACAATAATTTATCCTATTGGAAGGCTCGTCGTGTGGTTTTCTACCGGAATGGAGATCCCTTCTTTCCCGGTGTGGAACTGCGTTATCGTCCCGGAAGAGATGTCACCTCGCTGGACAACCTCCTGGATAAGATTTCACCCAAGATGGATTTGCCACGGGGTGCCCGGTATGTGTTCTCCATGGACGGGGATCGAAAGTACCACCTGGACGAGCTGGAGGATGGAGCCTTCTATGTCGTCTCCTCGTTCAAGGCCTTCAAGGTGAGTCCAAACCAGATTATTCGCATGCATTTCTGCACTCAGTGTTTTCCATAATTTTGAAGTTTAAGTGAGCGTTTTCACGTCAGGCGGCAAAATCAATATAAATTTGAATATTTTGGTATAATTTTAGTGAGTGTGCTGTGTGTTTGCAAATGAGTGTGTGTGTGTGTGTGTGTGTGTGCATAACATACATAAAACTATATACGAGGTTTTGGCGTTCTTTTTTTTTGCGGTCAGCGTCCCCACTCCGAATGGGTGAGAAAACTTGGTCACTTGGCCTAAAAATCAAAGGCGGCGCTCGCCTTTTGGCTTCTTTGTTTTGCTCCCTCTTCCTTGGCAGCGGGCGTCCTTGGGGGCGGAGTGGGTGGTTGGGGTAGCTTGGGGTGTTTTGGGGGGCGGTGGTGCCGCATTTTTGCATGCAAGCACTTTCGTTTTCTCTCGCTCTCATTCACCCACCCACTCTCGGAGTTGTGGGAGTCTAGCCCTAGAAAACAATGCCAACAATTAGCACGCCTTCTTGGCCTGCGACGAGGGCGAGCCAAGAACTAGGTCTTAGCTTTTATGGTCGACTGAGAGTGGGCTTGTATGGCCGTAGAGAGGGCTAAGAGAACAGCTGGTCTTAAGAGTAACTCGGTTAGGGGATAGCAAGCTCGGCTCTTTTCGAAAACGGGTCAGCTGGCAGCCCATCGATATACAACATGTTCCATCGAAAGAAATAATGAAAGAATCAAAATAAAGTCAGAGGAATTTCCGTGACCTCTGAAAAAATTCATTTAAACAAAAAAAAATCTTGATAATATAATTTTGTTTCAAAAATTTTATATAGATCTTTTGATCTTTGAATTATGAAAGTTATAGCGTTTCAAGTGCAGAGTTGTATCCATTTTTCGAATTTTTTGGCAGGGGTTATAAAAATGTGAAAAAAATCGACACAAAAATTAAAACCAAACTAAGTATGCAGTTTTTTTTCGAAACTACTTCGCAAGCATTTAAAGGTATTCCAATCCAAAATCGGACCGGAATGAAGGAAGTTATTGGCATTATGGGCAAAAACATTTTTGCCTCTACAAATCTGCTGCTCCAATATCTTTCTTTTATTGAGTCCCCTTTTTGGGTGTTGACTTTTGCATAAATTTCAATCAGATGCACTTCAATCAGTTGAGTTAAAGTCCATTTTTTGACATCTGGCCAAGGCAGTTGGCCAAATCGAGGTCCACACAAACACTGGCTTCATGCGGGCATAGCAATCAAGCGTCCGCACATCCTACATGTCCCGGAACAACTATTGAAAAAGTTTTCCACCTTCCGTTTGACAAACGTTGTGGGGGCGGATGATGATGAGGCGGAGTGGGCGTGGTCATCGGCGTGGGAAAGGGAATTGGGATGGAGAGTGAATGGAGAGGCTGCGGCAAACCATAATCGATAACGACGAAGTCAGAAGCCAACGGCAGCTATGCGTCTAATGCAGTCGAAGCGTGAGCCAAAGGCAGGGAGTTTGATGGTGCTCGAGACAAAGAGTGTTGGCAGCTAAAAAAACAACGATTTCATCCGGCAAGAATAGCCCGTAGTACCCCTCTCCCTTCTCCCCCGAGTTGTGGCTTCCCCCCGGGCTCGACTACGGGATACCATCCTCAGAATCCGTCCTCAACTTCGCCTGCAACTCGCTACGGCAAAAGGCAATTCCGCGCCTGGCCCGCGGCTAGCAAACAAAAGCACGGCATGGAGCATGCAGAGAACACTTAGAAAAATATTAGTGAAACATAAATGCAGCTATTTGCAAGTTTGTTAAATATTTTATGAACATGAGAGGGTGTAGCTGAAATTTTACTGATTCTTAAGTGAACTAAAAGCAATGTTTTCAAACTTCAATGGCAAACTTTCCTCTCTATTTTTTAAGAATTGCTTAACAATTGCAGTAAACCTTTGGATTGTTTCTTTTGAAAGAAATTGTTTAATATTTCCTCTAATAGTATAAAAGAGTTCCCTGTTTTATTCTCCGAGTGTGATGCCTGGCTTCGCTTCGTGCCCTGCCTGAAATCAAAACTTATGATGAGCCAGCGGCGCTCTCCTCGGCAACCAAAGGGGATCCGCTGTGAGGTCGTGTGCTCCACGCCGTTCCACAAAAAGGCTGCAAAGAACAATGGAGCAGCGGGCACATATATACTCATCAGATGGGAAAATGCATAGAAAATCAGCCGGCACTTCGGGCGCTCTCACGCGAAAAAGACCAATTTGAAAACTTGTGGCGTTTCACTTAGGGAAATTAAAAATGTATGCAAAGTACGCAGAAAAGCATGGGCCAAGAAATCGGGGCAGGAGCAGGCGCAAAGTGCATTTCGCCTGGCTAATAATATAAATTCATTTTGTGGCCAAACCAAAAGAGCGGGCGAGCGAGCACTGTTTACAAAATCATTTATGATAATTTATTCGACCAGGCATGCGTGACGACACTCGCGCCGACCAGCGAAATTTGAATGATTTTGGGTGCAGCAAATTGCATTAACCTTGTCGAGCTCGCCAAATAATTGCTTCGCTGGGCACCAGGAACACCGAACACCGAGTGGGTGGCCCGTGCTCACAGCTTGTAATCAAAATTTAAATTTCTAACCAGGCAAACGAAGGTCGGGTAAAAACAGTGGGATGAGACAGAGGAATTTCCAGACAATGGCGGAAACGTCTTCTGTCGCTTCGAGGAGCTCTGGGAAAAATAATGGGGAAGGGATTAACGAGCATTAATGGAATTTGTTAGCTTCCCCCGAAAGGAATTCAAGTTTGCTGTCGCCTTAACAATTTTTCATTTCCATATTCCCCTAATTTGTTTAGGGTTTTCATCTTTTCCGTAAAACTGAAGCATAATAATGTCTAAATAAATTTAATAAGGACCAAAAGAATGCCAATTTGCACAGAGATACAAATTTATGTTAACCCTTTTTCTTCGTTATACGAATTTGATTAAAAACATTATACAAGACAAGCGCTTAAAATATAGGGATTTCTTTCATAGTTCAGTTATGGAAAATAAAATCAGTAAGCCTTGACCACAACAAAAAATTGCAATCAAATCGAAATACTGACCAGTTTTCTGTGAAATTGAATATGTTTCGTGCAACCTATTTATTTTAAAAAAGAAAAGGCAATATTCGAAAGGGATTTACAAATATGTGGCCCTTCTAGAAAATAAAATAAAGGCTTAATGGAGCCCTTGGTATTTTTATTTAATTTGTTTTGCTCATGTGGCACCACACCCCCGAAAAATAGTTGCAATGCCATATATAAATTTCCTTCTCGACCCCAATATGAAATTCCATTTAAATTCCCCTTGCTGACCAATTTTGTGGTGAAATTAGATATACTCGTATATCGTGCAACTTAGCAGCCCCTTTGTTCTGCTGACCGATAATGCCACTGTGCCATAAATACGCCTTAAAGGTGCAGCACGCCAATTATGAATGATGGCCAGGACTTTACGTTTGCTTTGCTTCTGCTGCTGCTGCACCCCGAAAGCTGTTGGCCAAGAAAATGGACACGCAGAGCCGCAAAGAAATTAAGATTTTTGGCACAAACGTGTGCGGCATGCCAAGAGAACAAAAGCCAAAATGCGGGGCATGCAGCACGCAAGGTCAGCGCCATTGTAATTAACTGCATATAAAGTGGCGGGTGGTGGCGGGTGGTGGCGGGTGGCAGTGGGTGGGAAGTGGGCGGGGCAATCGGCGAGGAAAGCGGCTGAAAGGCGAAATGCGAAAGGCCACCGACCAGATTTCACGTCAATTATTTTTTTCTTGCGCGTGGCCAAGAGGCGGCCAACTTATGACCAAACAAGCTGCAGTGACATGTGAACAAGATTAAACCCAACAAACCCGAGAGCCCCGACTCTGTCTCCGTTATTTCCCAGCTTTTCCACACCCGCCACCCCCGCTTTTCCACACCGCGGCAAGCCAAAAACTTCGGAACTTGCCTTTGGGCTATAAAGCGTTTGATAAATTTCGCTGCCATTTACGTGTTGCACGCGCCGTGGATGTGAAATGTGGATGAACCAGCTGTGGTGCTGTGGTGCGGCGATGGTGTGGGTTCAGATAGTTGACTATGGCTAACAGGGGAGGCTGGCAAAAACCAAGTTAAACGGCGAAACGGGGGAACGGGGACAGCTGTGTCCGTTGACTGCACCTGACGACATAAATTGCGCATTTGCGTGGTCGTGATCCTTTTCACTTACAACGCCACGACAAAATCTCAGTTGCCTCCAGAGCTGCCTTTTGCCTGCCAAAACCCTTTCTCTTTTCCGCCCCTTTGATTCCAGTCCCCTTTCCCCTTCCCTTTCCCTTCTGCCTTCCCCTTCCCTGCTTCATTCGACAGTTTTAACAAAAGGTGCAGTCCACCGGGGCGTATGAGTAATGCGCGTTTGTGTGTGTATGACGCGTCTGCTTTACAATTACAAGAGCATTTTATACGCAATACCCATTGAATGGGTGGAAAACAAGGGAGTATTTATTTGGAAAATAATTTATTTGTCATTAAGTCTCACACTCCAAAAAATACATAAATTACTGATATGTTTAGCTTGTAAATTTTAAATTAATTATAAACGGAAAAATCTTTGGCGTGCAGTCTAAATTGCAATAATTATTTGTAGCTTACTAACAAAAGAAAAACCATGCATTTTGTCTAAATTATTAAAAGTAATAAAATTAATACTACTTAAAAATTTCCAAATTATTTTTATAAAACACCAACTTTTTTTTTTTTTAAATAATTTTTGTCATTTGTATAAGCAAACATTCTTTAATCATCACTCTATCGTCCATAGTTTTCTCACACTTCTTAACTATATCCCTCTTGTTTGCTGCTGCTGCAATGATTTTTTAATTGCTCGACACAAATATAAACACAGACTGGTCTTTTTTTATATTCGTATTTTTCCCTGCCGTGTTGTCGACCGCTGCTGACTCTTCTCGGGCGGATCTGCCGGTGCCATTGTGGGCTCATTTTAATGATTTTCTGAC